ACGATCAGAATCTCTTTGTTTTTCGCGGCTTGAGACCGGAATTCCGTGCCCTCACCGCGTCTCTTGCCGTCCGTGGGCAGCCGGTCACACTCCAGGAGTTGGCGGACTTCCTCGGTGCCCAGGAATTTATCGCAAATCGTGATTACGGCGGTGCTCCGGCGGCTCTTGCTGTTCAGCGCGGTGGTGGCCGATCAGGTCGCGGAGGTCAGAACCGTGGCGGCGGTCAACGAGCAGGCGGTGGCAATGGCGGGTCCAATCGTGGTGGTGGCGGTAGACAGCAAGGTGGCCGTGGGCGTGGTGGCCGCGGTCGCGGACGCAACAGTGGTGGCAATCAGGTTCAGTGCCAGATATGTAGGCGGACTGGTCACGAGGCTCATGTATGCTATAACCGGTATGATTCCCCACCTCAGGCCAATCTAACATATCAAGATAATTCAGATGTTGGTACTCCTCAGACATGGATCCCGGATACAGGGGCAACTAATCATGTTACTCCGGACATTGCTGCTTTGACCACCTCAGAAGAATATGTTGGCAATGACACCTTGCGTGTCGGTGACGGTATGGGTTTATCTATTAGTCATGTTGGTCATGTTTCTTTTAATACCCCTTCTAGATCATTCACATTGTCTGATATACTTCACGTTCCACGTTTGTCTAATTCTTTATTATTTGTTCAGAAGTTTGCATCCGATAATAAAGTCTTTTTTGAGTTTCACCCCCCTTTTTTTGTTGTGAAGGATATCAATACCAAAGAAATACTTCTTCGGGGCAATAGTTCTGGGGGACTATACACACTTCCATTACCTAGTTCATCTCCGTCAGCGTTTCTTTCCGCTCGTGCCTCGGCTTCCACTTGGCACAATCGTTTGGGTCATCCTCATAACCGTGTTCTTAGCCATATACTTCGATCTTGTTTAGTTAGTGGATCTCGTGATAGTATTCGTTGTACTAATTCTTTATGCAATGCATGTCAATTAGGCAAATCTGCCCGTTTTCCCCTCCCTCGTGTTGCTTCCTCTAGTTCTCATGTACTGGATCTTATTTACACAGACATTTGGGGTCCTGCGCCCACTTTATCTACATCTGGCTTCCGTTACTTTGTGATCTTTGTGGATGACTATTCCCGTTATACATGGTTCTTCCCTATGAAATTAAAGTCTGATCTTTATGTCATTTTTGATAAATTTCGTACTCTTGTTGAACGGTCCTTTAATTGCAAAATAAAGGCCATTCAGTCTGATTTAGGTGCTGAGTACTGAACGGTCCTTTAATTGCAAAATAAAGGCCATTCAGTCTGATTTAGGTGCTGAGTACAAAAAGTTGCATTCTTCGTTTGTTCAATTAGGAATTCAACATAGACAATCCTGTGCCTATACACATGAACAGAATGGTCGTGTTGAACGAAAACATCGTCACATTGTTGAAACTGGTCTGGCTCTTCTAGCTCATGCCTCTGTTCCTTTGAAATTTTGGGATTTTGCCTTTGAGACTGCTGTCTATTTAATTAACAGAATGCCATATTCTGTATTAAATAACTCCAGTCCTCATCTCCTATTACATAAATCCCCTCCTTCCTATCTTTTTCTTCGTGTCTTTGGGTGTTTATGTTACCCTCATCTTCGACCATATAATCGTCATAAGATGTCATACAGGTCTTCTCCATGTGTCTTCCTAGGTTATCCTGAGTCATTTAGGGGGTACAGATGCATGGACTTACATACTAATAAGATTTACACATGCAGGCATGTCAGATTTGATGAAGAAGTTTTTCCCTTTGCTACTAAAACTTCTTTGCAGGATCTATCTGCTCCGTTTTCTGGACCTTGGGCGGAATTTGTTCTCAGTCACAGCACACATATTCCTGCCGTGTCCAATGATGAGCCGCCAGAACCGCCGCTACCTGCTTCATTCGAACCAGCCGTGGATCCCGGACAGGCTGCCTCGTCGGGTGATCCTGTGGAGCCTGTTGCTCGCCGGCGAGGCCGTCCACGTGGGCCGTCCATCAGGCCCAATGTCCGTACTCACTCTATGGCCACTCGCAGCAACGCAGATGCTCCTCTTTTTGCTCTAGCAGCTCAGGTGCATCCCACGGAACCCACATGTCACTCTCAAGCTGTCAAATATCCTGAGTGGCGTGAAGCCATGGACCAAGAATTCAATGCTCTCCTGCATAACCACACATGGTCTCTAGTTCCACCCACTGCAGGTATGAATATTATTGGCTGTAAATGGGTGTTTCGTACGAAGAGAAAGGCTGATGGTGCTATTGAAAGGCATAAAGCCAGGCTGGTTGCGAAAGGTTTTAATCAGGTTCCAGGTCAGGACTTCTTCGACACTTTTAGTCCAGTGGTAAAGCCTACGACTGTAAGACTCCTTCTATCTCTAGCTTTATCATCTGGGTGGTCTATCAAACAGCTAGATGTTCATAATGCTTTTCTGAATGGTAATCTGGCTGAAATAGTTTATATGAAGCAACCCCCTGGTTATATTGATGCTAACTTCCCGAATCATGTTTGTTTGTTAAAAAGATCTCTGTATGGGTTAAAACAAGCTCCCAGAGCTTGGTTTAATCGACTACATACGTTCTTATTATCGGTTGGCTTTCAAGCATCCAAGACAGATGTCTCTCTATTATATTACTCTAAAGACTCTGTTTTGGTTTATCTATTGGTGTACGTGGATGACATTCTTGTAATGGGAAGTGATCAGGGTATTATGTCTCAGCTCTTGTCCAAACTGTCTGCTACATTCAAAATCAGAGATCTTGGTGAACCAAATTTCTTTCTAGGTATTGAAACAGTTAAGAGTAACAATGGGATTATTTTATCTCAACAACGGTATATGAATGATATTTTAAAACGGGCTGGAATGTCTGAATGCAAACCCCTTTCTACACCTATCTCTGTCTCGAAAACTGTCCCCTTTAATTCAGATCTATATGATGATCCCACACAGTACAGGAGTCTAGCTGGAGCACTGCAATATCTCACTGTCACACGACCTGACCTATCCTTTGCAGTTATCACACTGGGAGCAGCTCAAACGGGTACTCAGGTATGTTAAGGGAACAGTTGATCATGGTTTACGCATACGACGGTGCTCATCTAGAGACATTCATGTTTTCTCTGATTCTGATTGGGCTGGTTGTCGTGACGATCGAAAATCCACGAGTGGTTTTGCTGTTTTCTTGGGGAGTAATCTTATATCATGGGTTTGCAAGAAACAGAGAACTGTTGCCAGGTCATCCACTGAGGCTGAATACAAAGCTCTTGCAGATGTTTGTGCTGAGGTTCTATGGATTATGTCATTACTGCGTGAGATACAGATTCCGGGTATTTCCATTCCAAAATTATGGTGTGATAATCTAGGAGCTACATATATGAGTGCCAATCCAATCTTTCATGCGCGCACCAAGCATGTAGAGATTGATTATCATTTTGTTCGTGATCGAGTAGCTTCGGGCGACATCCAAGTCAACTTCATCTCCACAAAGGATCAACTTGCTGATATCTTCACCAAAGCTCTGCCTGGACCTAGATTTTCTTCCTTAAGGGACAAGCTACAGGTTACTAGTATACACTGTGCTTGAGGGGGAGTATTAGGACTCTATGTATATGAGTCTGTTTAGAACTTCTTATCCTTGTCACACTGTGACTCTCTACTTCTTATCATTGTCACACTGTGACTCTCTACTCTATATATTCACATCATCTGATCTCATTGTAATCAAGTTCAGTAAAATACAATACAATCAGTTCTCATCGGGAGGGGAGCTCATCAATGCTTTCCCATCCCCAAAATTGGATGGGCAAGCAAGCAAATACTTTTGGAACCTTGATACTTCTTATAAATGTGTACAAATATGAAAAATTAAACACTTATCATACTATTGTATTTACTTTAAAAAAAAAAAAAAAAGAGTGATAAAGGTGAAATAGACCTTTCAACAATATATCAAATTACAATTATATTTTCAAACTAAGAAAACTTGTAGTTAATCCTTAAACTTGTTAAAGTTGTGCAATTAACATACTTGACCTATAATAGCATGTTACTCCTAAATAATATGCCACATAGATTAATATTTTTTTTTAGAAATTATACTTCGTATAAAAATTAAAATAATTATATTAATCATAAAAAAAATTCCACAACAATCCATGGCAGCATGGTAACTCGTAAAATATGTTAAGTACACAATTTTAACAAGTTTAAGGGTCTAATTGATTTTTTTTTAAAATTTATTTGAGAGTCAAATTACACAGTTGGTATATAATTGGATGCCTTACTTGACCATTATAAAAAAAGTGAAAAATGATCAAATAAACCCTTTAACTTTCGATGAAAAAGCAATTAGACCCTCAAACATTAAAAAAATAAAATTCAGTTACACACTTGAACTCCTTAAAATTGTGCAATTAGACCTAATTTATCAGCAACCTGTTACTGGTAATTTTGTTTTTAAATATATATAAATTTTATTTATTTTTATTTTTATTTGTTTGTGGCCAGTCGGCAACGTTCGCAGCCTCTTTCTAATCTAGAAGGAGGTTGAATGTTACCGCCTCCTTCCAGAACGAAAGGAAGAGGAGGCGGCCGTTGCCTCATTCCAGACTGGAAGGAGGTGACGTTTCCCTCCTTCCAGAACATAAAGAGGTAGCCGTTGCCTTCTTCTTGATCGGAAGGAGGCAAAACGTCGTATTCGTTAAAAGGTCGCTGCGACCAAAAGGTCACGATGACTGGTAGACGAGACAACAATCTTTGGTCGGCGGCGGCTGGCGATGGTGGTGGTGATGACTGGTATGGTGGTAGTTATATCATAGTCAACGAGTTAAAACTGAAAGGTTACAAGCTAAACGGTTATATTACACTCATTTTAAAAGTTAAAAGGATTCAATTGTAATTTTTTATAAATTAAAGGGCCAATTGCATTATTAAATATACTTGAAGGGCTTATTGACCTTTAAAACTGCAAAAAAAGAAAAAAGAAAAAACAAAATACGGAGTATTATACTCCGAAATGAGCCAGGAGAGCTGAAAAGACCAACCCCGGCGGCTTTGCGCATTAGAGCGCAAAGATCTGTGATTCACTAACACTGGCTTTGTTACTTCGCGCACGAACAATGGCAGTAACGTGGCATGCTCGTCTCTCTGCGACCCTTCTACTGTTTCTATGTGCATCAACACGCACCACTGCAGATGTAATTCAAGGTTGCGGCGGATTTGTTGAGGTGAGTCTATACTCTTTCAGTATCGCCTTTGATTTCCGAGAAGTTGGATTTCGATCAGATCGATGATGTTCAAGTGTGAAGTATGCAGTTCAGAACTCAAACTTGTTTATATTTAGTTTAATTTGTTTCTGTTTCCCTTTCCTTTTGGACTGATGTAGGCGAGTCGCGCACTGATCAAGTCGAGGAAGCCGACTGATTCGAAACTGGACTATTCTCATATCTCGGTAGGCGTTCGTTAATTTAGTTTTTAATACTGTGGAGCATAAACATTTTTAAACAAAAAAAAATCAATTAAATGGCGTGGAATGATAAGCAACGTACATTTATTGGTTTATTGTAAGTTATCAGTGCAAGATAAAATGTTTATGTTGTTGGATTCTATTTTTGAATGCAGGTTGAGCTTAGGACATTGGATGGGTTGGTGAAGGATAGAACACAATGTGCTCCAAATGGTTATTACTTTATTCCAGTATACGACAAGGTGGGTTTGAAGAGGGCTTATGTATTACTTCTATGAGGTTATGTAGCCATTAGGGTCCTATAAGTTACTATTATGTTCATTTACTCCAGTGCAACATTGAAATTTACTGAATTGACACCTTAGCTGCTGAGCATCTGAATCACATTTTTGTTGCTAAATCCATTTTTAGGGTTCTTTTATTGTCAAAGTGAAGGGACCAGAAGGATGGTCGTGGGACCCAGAACAAGTTGAGTTCTTTTGAAGCTAATTTGATAATACTCTTGCATATCTTTATCCATGCTTATTGAGGAGGAACCTTTCAGGTAACGTGTTGTTAAATTTTTGTTTAGTATAATCTGACATGAGACGTTTCTTTTTGTAGGTTCATGTTTCTGTTGATAATACTGGTTGCAATGCCAATGAAGATGTTAATTTTCAGTTCACAGGGTCTGTTGAAAATCCTGCAAGTTGTGAAATTCAATTCTAGTGATGTTTGTTGCATTTTGACACTGTATTTTACTTTGCTATGTGCATATTTCTATAAGTTATTTCTGATGTAGGTTTACTGTGTCTGGAAGAGTCGTGGGAGCTGTGGGTGGGGAGAGTTGTACTCAAAAAAATGAAGGTCCACCTAATGTGAAAGTTGAGCTTTTGTCTCCTACAGATGATGTGGTTTCTTCTGTATTAACAACTTCATCTGGAACATATTCCTTCACAAATGTTGTTCCTGGTAATGATACTCTTTTCGTAGTTGTATTTTTTCTGGCTGTGTGGAGCTACATGTAACATCTGTCTTACTAATATTGGATTATGATGCAGAGATATTCTGGGCATTATTTTTTTACTTTTCAATCATTATTTTATGTTCATATCATATTTCTATTAATAGCATTGGATCTCATTATAAGATAAAATTTCTATCTTACTGATTGTTCCTGGATACAGGGAAGTACACATTACGTGCATCCCGCCGTGACTTGAATATTCAAGTTAGAGGTTCAGCTGAGGTGGTCTTAGGCTTCCCTTTTGGCATTTGATCATTATATCTTATTTTTATATATTCGGGTGGAGTTATTTGCTGTCTTGGACCAATTGTACATTCCAGTCCTATAGTAGTTAAGGAATGCGCGGAGCTGATTGATCTTATGAGCCATAATATTCATGCAGGTTGAATTGGGTTTTGAAAATGGTGTAGTGGATGACTTTTTCTTTGTCCCTGGCTATGATATTCGTGGATCTGTTGTAGCTCAGGTGAATTGTTTTATATGATAATTTATTTCATGCTTGCCTCCATTACACTTATTGTATCACTAAGGACTGTATACAAGATGAGGTTGTTTACAAACAACGTCAAACTTTACTTGTTTATATTTTTAGAGTTGAGTTCGAAGTTATCAAGTGTTCATTAAATCATGGCTTGACTTGTATACATCATGCAACAGTTTGTATCATTTGATTCATTTCACTTGCCAATTGTAAACTTGGCCCGACACATATACTATTATTGTGTGTATATTTATTTAGTATGTACATATATAATATATAATAGTATCATACAACTTATAGAATAATTGAGCACAACCTCATGTCTTTATATGAGGAAGATATGAGGAAGCTGAGCTCAAACACTAATTAGTGTTCACCTATTAAATGAGCTGGCTCAGCTTGACACATTTACAACTCTGCTTTCCCATTTTGAAATGAGTGTATATGCATTCGTTTTTATCATATACATATCATAAACAAACACTGAACTGCTCTTTTACTGTCTTTCGATTGCAATTTTGCATTCTGCTTTCTTCCCACTATGAATGTTATTTGTTTGCAGGGAAATCCTATTTTGGGAGTTCATATTTATTTACATTCTGATGATGTCTCAATGGTTGATTGCCTTGAAGACCTTGGTAATATGCCTGGTGACCGTTCTGACGGAGCAGCTCTGTGTCATGCTGTGACAGATGCTGATGGAATTTTTACATTTAAATCAGTTCCTTGTGGTAATAGTTGTATCCTTAATATTTGCCATTCCTTTAAATTGTAGAGTTGCCTGGAAGCAGTCATCGTCTGTCACTTCATTATATCTTGTGTGTGCCATTAGGTGATGGCAAGTGGCTTGGACTGGGAGTTGAAATTGCTATGTGGCCACTGTCAGTGGTGTTTTTTTTTTTTTTTTTTTTTTTTTTTTTTTTTTTTTTTTATAATAATTTATTTATTTAAAGGAATTAACATAAAATAATAAAATATGCCTTGCTAGTGTCCAGAAATGTCTTATATTTTTGTCAACTTTGCCCTATAATCCTATTACAAATAGCTGAGAAACATTTGTAGCTCTTGCAGTCTTGATCTTGCAAGTCCTTTGAAACCAGATATTCTTGATTACCTTAAAATTGCTTGTATAACATGGCTATGGAGATTATTTGAATCTTTTTTACATTATGATGATTTATCTAGTGAAATATCTGCAGGGCTTTACAAGCTTATACCCTTCTACAAGGGTGAAAACACCATTTTTGATGTTTCACCATCTTCTGCATCAGTCATTGTAAAGCATGATCACACAACAGTCCCCCAAAAGTTTCAGGTATAAGTTTTGCTAAATGAGAAATTAAAGAAACTTGAAAAAAGAAAAAAGAAAAAGAAACAGGATGAAAATTTGAAACCTATCTTGCTCAGCAAATACTGATGCTGCTTATTTGAATTTCTTAATTTTAAATGTAATTTTGCTTCACAATCACATTTCATACTCTGCTATTTTAATTTTAAATAGGTTACTGGATTTTCTGTTGGTGGCCGTGTAGTTGATGGTAATGGTGAGGGAGTGGATGGTGTTAAAATTATAGTTGATGGTCAGGAAAGATCCATAACTGACAAAGAAGGATATTACAAGCTTGACCAGGTAAAGTATTGTCTATACTTAGGGAAATTTTATGTATTTCATTCATTTTATTATAGCTGAAAGGAAAACATGTTGCACTTACTTGAACCCAAAGGGGTAGCTCAAGTGGCAAAGGAGCTTATTTGTGGGGACGATCCTAGGGATAACCCGGGTTCGATTCCCACAAGTGACAATTCCCCTTGGGCCAGCTCCAATGCCTACCGGAGCGAACATGGATTAGTCGGGTGGACCCGGACCGTAGGATGGAGAAAGACCCGGAACACCTTGTGGTTTACACACAAAAAAAAAGACTTCTCACTACTCTAGGAAAAACTATTCATCTCCTCAAGGCAACTTAGAGTAAATAGGGCTGCAAAAAGGCTGCCCAAGACAAGATATTTTCAGTATATATATACACACACACACACTCATCGCCTAGGCGGTCGCCTAGTCGACTAGGCTGTCGGTGGCATCTCGCCTAGAAAGTTCGCCTTGATAACCATGGTTGCTTTTTATTCATCTGTGTGTTTTTTAGTGTCACATTGGAGTTTTTCTGTTTATTAGACAATGAATTATTTTCCCTTCTGGTTGCTTTTTTGGGAAATCCTTTTTCATTTATTGAAGCTAACTTCATTAGTAGCACCAAGGTGTGCTGCAAAAGATATATGCCAAAAGAAAAATAAAACTGCGTTTCAGCTTTTATGATATCATAGATAGATTTGTGTATAATCACTTATTTAATTTTATGTTGCTTCTTCCTTTACATTATTTCTAGGTCACATCGAAACGTTACAATGTGGAGGCAAAGAAGGAACATTATAGATTTAATAGACTGAATGACTTTTTGGTAAGCTAAGCAATTATGTCCTTTGAAGAACTACACAGTCAATACATAGTTGTGCTTGAAAACTTGGTATACATTGTGTGTAGTATTTCCCCGATTTAATGTGGTTGAATACATAGTTTCCATTTTTTCTTCTCTCCCTGAAAATTTTGACCTTTTAGGTTTTGCCAAATATGGCTTCGATTGCTGAGATCAAGGCTTTGTCATATGATGTATGTGGAAATGTCCAGACTGTTAATAGCGACTATATGGCCAAGGTATTATCAAATTCCCCTTAAGTTCATTGTCATATCATTTAAGCATTTTAAGTTGATCTAGGTTTAAAAAAGGTGCTAGTTGTACCCAATTAACTTAAAGCAGTGTTTACATGAAGTGTAATCTAATATGGGGCAGTGTTGATAGCTATATAAAACTGATAAGCTTTGTGTAAATATTCTGCTTTTTTTGTTTTGTTTTTATTTTTGCTCAAAATTTATTGGCAAGCACCATATAGTAGAGGCCAAGTGCACAAAACTGTAGTGGCACTTAGAATGACATGAAATAGGGCACAACACACCTTGTTTGATACACCTTCACTTCACCTAAGAAATCCAGGTTAACAGGCTTGCTTACTATCATGACCAATAAAAAAAAGTCTTTGTGTAATGACCTATTCAACTATAAATTCTAACAGAGAATGGGGCACTTCTTCCTGTTGTTTTGGTTTCTGCAGTGACACTGCTTATATATATATATATATAAGATATAAGATAATGCCCTCTTTATGCACTTTGTTTTATTCTTGTAAGTAATTACATTAATACAGGTAACACTCACTCATGGACCAGAAAACATGAAGCCTCAAGTGAAAAAGACAGATCAGAGTGGCAATTTTTGTTTCGAGGTATGTTACTGGAAGAGTTGATTATCAATGCCATTGATCTTGTGGTTGCCCTCTGCAGTCAGAGTGTGCTGCTTTTTTGTGGACCATGATAATTAGCTGATATTACTATTTTTTATAAAATGCCTAAGCTTGTGATGCTATGCAATTCATGAATAACTTAGTTCATTGAAAGAACTTTCTCACTGGCTCTGATGTTTCTTAAACAAGTAAATTCAAGTAATTAACACTTTTGATTGATGTACTAATATGTAAGTAGAATAGTAGATAGTAGCCCTTTGAGCAGAAAAGGAAAGAACATTAACATGCATGAAGATATTTTGCCTTTTCAGCAGTTTCATTGTTGTAATGCTAGAATTAATGGTTGCATAGAGAAGAAATTCATTGACGGAATTAAAAAGAGAAGTACCTCCTGCAGAATGCTTGATTTTGTATATACAGAATATGTTGTAGCCATGTAATGACCAGAATTCTTATCCTGTCTGTTTCATACTCCATACTAGATAGTCCCAGAGAATGAGTGGAATCAGATGTACATTCTGATTCCATCAGCTTCTGCCAAATGCTTTACTTGTCTCTGCTGTAACTGTATTTCACCAAGAAAGTTGAATTTATTTTGCTTTTGAAATTTTCTACACATTGAAGTTAATATCATCTTTTCCTGCAGGTTCCACCTGGTGAATACCGTTTATCTGCTATTGCAGCAAATCCTGAGAATGCTCCGGACCTTCTGTTTTTTCCTCCTTATGTTGATGTTTCAGTCAGAAATCCTTTATTAGACATTGTATTTAATCAGGTAATTTGTTTTCTGTTGTTTCCATGTTTTTGACTAAACTAGAATTCTGCTTTAAAGTGGATGCTGAGATTTTTCTTTAATTGATGTTCAGAGTAAATATCTTAACTATGCAGCATTTTATGCTTAAAGTATCAACTATCATAATGCTGCTCTAGTGCTCTCTAACAAGATCTCCTGTCTTTTTAGGTTCAAGTCAATATAGTTGGCTCTGTCGTATGCAAAGAGAAGTGTGGTTCTTCTGTTTCTCTTACTCTTGTGCGCCTGGATGGTAAACACAAGGGTGAGAGGAAGATAATTTATTTGACAAATGAGAGCAACGAATTCCTATTCTCAAATGTCCTTCCTGGTAAATATAGGGTTGAGGTAATATTCCTTCATTTCTGATTGCTAATTACCATTCATGGAACTTTTGGGTTACTCCCTCTAGCTATCTACACCACCAAAGTATTCTCTCATATTATCCATAGTATACCTCTTATATTATCCGAAGGAGACTCTACTTTATAATACAATGAACAATAACATTATGTTGAAATAATGCTGAAGAATAGAGTACGTAAACTTGAAACTACATAACATGCAACACTGCAACATCCACTCAATTGATATATATATTTTTTCTTGTAGTTTGTAGAAGTTTATAGTTTCTTCATCTTTGAATGCCCGTCTTCATTTCAGGTAAAGAACAACTCCCCAGGAACGCTATCAGGAGAAGATAGATGGTGTTGGGATGAAAGCTTTATCAATGTCAATGTTGGAACTGAAGATGTTAAAGGACTATCATTTGTTCAGAAAGGGTACTGGGTTAATATAATTTCGAGCCATGAGGTAGATGCTTTCCTCACGCAACAAGATGGCTCTCTTGTGGACTTAAAAATAAAGGTCAGCTTTATTTGATGATAAAGTGGCCTCTCTTTGATAGTAAAAGCAAGCCTATGAAACATCTATTTCATTTGAAGCTCATTGTTTGCCCCCTCAACCCTCCAACTCTGTTATATTGCAGAAGGGATCTCAGCGCCTATGTGTGGAATCTCCTGGAGTGCATGAACTGAACTTTCGTAAGTCATGTATTTCCTTTGGGAGTTCCTCTTTGAGGATTGATACTTCTGATCCATCGGTATAATGCTTACTAGTGTTCATTTTCCATATTTCATATTATGTTCCATCTCCCCCCTTTCTTTTCCCTGAACTTATTTTCTGGTTTCTGTAGCCTATCTCTTTGAAAGGAGAGAAATATCTTCTCAAAGGTCAAATCCATGTAGACCCAAATTCACTTGGTGGTTCAGAAAATTTGCCTCAGAATATACAAGTTGATATTTTAGACACAGCAAATTCTGTTGTTGGTGGTATTACTGCAAGCCCTGTCCATAGTGAATTTGATCAATCCGCTACTGCAGTTTATGAATATTCAACATGGGCAACACCCGGAGATAAATTTATATTTGTTCCTCGAGACTCTCGGTATGTGATTATAGTTGTGGACTGTGGAGGTGATGAGTTTGAGTCCACTTGCTTTCACTGTTATTATTATGTTCCTTTTACTCTCCCATCCATCTCCTTTGGGTGTTTCCCTGTATGCTTAGGGTTGAGATAGTGGTTATTTAAAGTAAAAGCCATCTTCACGTTTTATTTTTTATGCCTTGCATATGTTATAGATTCCATTGTGTTCTTTCAGTGTCCTTGCAATGTCTAACCCCTATCATTCACGTCTGATGTGCACACTTAGTTTGTATTCTTTTTCATTATTAATGCATTGATTTCCTCAATCTGGATTCGTTTGACAGGGATGATGGGGGAAAAAAGATACTGTTCTATCCTAGGCAGCAGCATGTAAGCAGTAGTATATGTTTTTAATTCCAGTCACATTATTTATAAGTCACATCTCACTTTTCAAGTATTTTGACTTTGTTTTAATAGGTCTCTTTGACGCAAGATGATTGCCCTCCAATCATTTCTCCATTCTATGGTCGCATAGGATTATATATTGAAGGATCTGTATCACCCCCTCTCTCTGATATTAACATCAAAATCATTTCTGCGGGGGAAAGCCGCAGTGCTCCTCTTAAGCATGGTGATGTAGTAGTTGAAACTACTACTGGGGCAGATGGCCTTTATGTTGCAGGACCTTTATATGATGATAGTAATTACAGTGTAGAGGCTTCAAAGGTTTGTGTGTATTAACCTGGAAAAACTCCTTTCTTATCTGCCTCTCAATTTGTTGATTATTCTTTTCATAACTTTCAGCTTTTAAATTGTGATCTATCTCTTGATACTAACTTTAAATATAATTCACACTGTCATTGTTGTTGATGCCATCTTACTCCTTTAAAATATCGGGGCTTGATGAATGTATTTTCATATATTCCTAGAAAATTTATACTCCGTAATCTCTTAAAAAGAAATCTTCTGAACTTAATAAATACCCTGTATGTGCAATATTTGGTGCCTTAATCATTATGTGATATATATTCTCTAATAAACTTGCTTCTCTAAGGAATCCCATTATCAAATAAGCTGTAGAAAGAGTGTGATTATCAGTAAGTTGATTATTGCTATTCATAATATTTATAAAAAATAATGAAAGTGAAACCTCACAACTTAAGCTTAGAGTTGAGGTGGAACACATAACTTATTATAATAATATGGTACCAGCTCAAGAAAGAGGTTTGGGGTTCAAATCACACCCACAACCTGTTGTTAAACACTTAAAGTATTGTCTTTGGACCAAATGTTGGGGGGAAGGGGGAAGGGGGTGAGGATAATATATAAAATGTGATTGTGTATTATACAAAAAGCTTAAACTTTTAGTTGAATTGGAATGCATCATTTATGCACACCATTTTTTTTATAATTGTAATAGACAACTATATAAATGTCGTTCTCATCACCATTTTTTTTTCCTGCAGTCTGGTTATCATGTAAAGCCTCTAGGACCTCATTCCTTTTCTTGTCAGAAGCTTAGTCAAATATTTGTGCGCATATATTCAAAGGATGATGCAAGAGAGCCTTTTCCTTCAGCACTCTTATCACTGAGTGGTGAAGATGGTTATAGGAACAACTCGGTAACTGGTGGTGGTGGAACTTTTATTTTTGACAATTTATTTCCAGGGAGTTTTTATCTCCGACCTCTGCTTAAGGTAATATTCCACATTATACTTGTATGATCAAATAAATTTTAAACACCTAAAATGGGAAACATTTGAACTTTCTGTTAATTGGTCCTGTTTGACTGTAGCAGCATTAATGTGCTGTTGTTGGCATTATGAAAAATCTATGGGTACTCAAAATGGCAATTGCTGGTGCATATAAAATACTCTGAAAATATTGAAGCAATGTCATAAACATCACTTGTTCAAAGCATCTGAGGATCTTAAAATTGTAATGTAGCAGCACACAAATATTATGTCTGCAATTGTAGGAATGATTGGATCTCTGTTTGCAGGAATATGCTTTCTCACCTCCAGCACAGGCAATCGAACTTGGTTCTGGTGAATCCAGAGAGATAGTCTTTCATGCCACTCGAGTTGCATACAGGTATATGCACGAATTGGTCTTTTTATGCTCGTAATTTCTTGTCCTGACTTTCTATCATTATGTCTCTTACAAATGGTCACATACTGTTTGTTTGTTTGTTTTTGTTTTTTTTTTTTTTGTTTTTTTTTTTTTTGTTTTGTTTTGTTTTTTTGTTTTGTTTTGTTTTGTTTTTTTTTTTTTTTTTTTTTTTTTTTTTTTTTTTTGTTTTAAAGTTTAATTATGTAGACTAACTGCTTAAGATCTTGGTTGTTCCTGCTATCTAACTCTGACTCTTTCTTTGGTAATTGATTGTGAAACCAATGCGTTTAGATTGTATTTCTTATGCTAAGGATTTCCCCCCTCTGACATCATTTCTTTACTTTTGCTTGTTAACTTATTATCTTATTTCATTTGAAACTTTGCAGTGAAATTGTCTTTTGCTTATTCTGGTGCTAATTCAATGTGGCATACTCCTACATGTATTTTTGTAATACTATTATATTGGTTATTAAATGTATATTTAATTCACTAATGATGAAGAGTTGATTGTGCATAGACAATGTTATGATATTGATACCATCCTTTTAAATAACAAGCTTTCTGGTCCATGTATTGCTTGGGTTATTACTGGTTATGTGCCTTTGTTTTTAATATGACACGCTTCCTAACTTATTAGTTTATTTTCCAGTTTTAGATAGCCTGCCAATGTTATGATGCCTTAGCAGTTATGGTACCAAATAGATGTCATCTGACATCAAATAGAGTGCTAAATGGCATGCGAGATTCAACCTTCTTCTTTAGCTTATGTTGGATCTTTTCTTGGGTTTGCTTTCTGGCTGTATATATTCTGCTTTTACTGCCTATTTTCTTCAAATAACCTCATGTTGTCACTTTTGCTTATATATTTCAGATTAAAGAATACTCTTAATTTCTTTTTATACAGAGATGTGAAACATATTTATGCTCTGATTAATGCAAGAGTTAAAGATTGTTCTGTGAGTGTCTTTTTGGGGTCTGATGTAGTTTGACCTTTTCAGTGCCATGGGAGTTGTTGCTCTCTTGTCTGGTCAGCCAAAAGAAGGTGTTTCGATAGAAGCTCGAGCAGATTCAGAAGGCTTTTATGAGGAGACAGTAACTGATTCATCAGGAAATTATCGCTTGAGGGGGCTACTGCCCGATACTACTTATGTAATCAGAGTTTCAAGGAAGGTTGAATATGGTAGCCATCATATTGAGCGTGCATCTCCAGAGTACATGACCATTAAGGTTGGTTTTTGCACTTCTTTCCCATTTTCTTTCAAGAGTGAGGATCTGCAATTAAGAACTCATGCCATCATAAATAATTATTGTAATTTCTTGGTGGTGCTTCCTTGATTATAGGTTGGATCTGAGGATTATAGGGGGTTAGATTTTGTTGTTTTTGAAGAGCCAGAAATGACCATCTTAAGCTGTCATGTTGAGGGGCAGAGAATGAAAGAACTTCACTCACATATCCAGGTGGAAGTGAAGTCCGCTACTGACCCACTGAAGATTGAATCTGTATTCCCGCTGCCTCTTTCGAACTTTTTCCAGGTGAAGGACTTACCAAAAGGTAAGCACCTTCTACAACTTCGATCTGCTATGCTATCTGGCACCCATAGATTTGAATCAGAAGTTATTGAGGTTGACTTGGAGAAACATACCCAAATTCATGTGGGCCCACTCAGATACAAGATTGAAGAGGATCACCAGAAACAGGTATGCCACTAATTTTTTCTTAATGTCTATTGTGGGCACCTCTGAAGTCTTTCCTTCTCTCTAGTATCTTTTATTCCCTTGCTAATATTAGTTACTGTAGCTGGTAAACATGAATACTTATTGAGTAACATCCCTTTTATTTTTATATTTTTTAAAATTGTAATTCGGTTAACTATTTCTCTGTTGTCCCCTATTATATCCAGGAATTGACTCCAGTTCCAGTATATCCTCTCATTGCTGGAGTCTCAGTTATTATACTTTTTATCAGCATGCCAAGGTAATTAATTGTCTTTTTCTCCATTGTGTCCCCTATTATTGCTGGAGTCTCTGTTTCTGCCAGAATTTTCTGTTTAGGGTTCTCTGCTTTTTTTGTTTTTTTTTGGTAGACTCATTTGAGTGGAAATGCACTCTTCTAAAATGCTACTCGCAGATTGAAGGATTTATATCAAGCTATTGAAGGATCAGGATCAGCTAGCCTAAGAAAAGATGCCAAAAAACCCTCCACAAGGAAAAAGACATACTGAAACTTGAGGTGTGTCTGTCTTCCATTTTGTAGGAGCTTGAAGGTTTGATTAGTGGTATGTGTAATTCCAGATGCATCACATCATGACATCAGTTTGGTGAAAGTATAAATTTGATAGATAACAGAATACGCATCATTGCATCAAATTTTCCAAAGCTGCGCCATAAGCCTGTCAGAACAGTAGCTGATAGATTATTAATTTCAAATTTTGACGTCCTTGTACTCTCATCGTTGTAGCTAGGCAACACTAACAGGAATATGGATGATAAAACCAATCTATTTATTGAGATCCCTTTTGTAGGGTGTCAGGTTTTTGGACTACTTATTTCATGATTAGAAGCTTCTTGTGCGGGCGTTGGTTTTGTAATTTTCTGTTTAAAATTTATAAGCTATATATAGTCAATAAAGTGGCCTAACTTTTGTTAGTGTAGTTTTTTAAAGTTGGACGAGACTACGAGTCTACTATAGGTCACCGTTTATTATTCATTTATTATTTAAAGCTCCAAATGATGCAAGTTCAGAGCGAAAACCCAAAATAAAAAGTAGAAAGGCCACAAGAAAAGGTAGCCAAAAACTTATTGTGAGATCGTAATCGGAATGGAATTAATAAAAATAGAACCTATAACCCTTAGAGGACTGTGCATATCCAATAAAGAAAGCACTAATCGTTCTTGGATCAAGTTTCTTCTCGTGTGGGTTATATATCCTCACCTCAGACGGACATCCCTAAACGCGTATATGTTACAAACTCGGTTTCCAACTTTTGAATAACTCAAACGGTGTCTTATGGACAACCTTGGTTAGAACACGATTTAATATATACGTCACCGTCTTAAGTGCTTCATCCCACAACGACTTAGAAAGCTTAGAGTTGCTAAGCATACTCCGCACCATATCTAGAAGGGTCCGGTTTCTTCTTTCAACTACACCATTTTGGTCCGGAGAACCAGGCATGGTGTATTGGGCAACAATCCCATGATCTTGAAGAAACTTAGCAAAGGGACCAAGCGCTTGTCCATTCTTAGTATATCTACCATAGTATTCACCACCCCTATCGGACCTAACTATGTGTATTTTCTTGTTACATTGGATTTCAACTTCAGCTTTAAAAGATTTAAAGGCATCCAATGCTTCATGTTTTGATGAAGTAAATACACATAGGAAAATCTTGAGAAGTCATCAATGAAGGTGATAAAATATTTTTGACCAGGTATTGTCATGTCAGGACAACATATGTCAGTATGAATAATTTCCAACAACGTTGAACTTCTATTGGCACCTTTCTTTGACTTGTTTGTCTGCTTACCCTCAATGCAGTCGAGGCAAGTCTCAAAGTCAGTATAGTCTAGAGTAGAAAGTACTCCATCCTTTTAGGGGTGTTCATTCGGTTAACTTAACCGAATTAACCGAAGTTTTTTTTTTCCTTTAACTGTTAACCGAACCGAAGTTTACTCTACCGAATTCACCGAACCGAAATTTTTTTCGGTTAATCGGTCGGTTAACCGAACTTTTTAAAGCTAAAATTTAAAATTCTAAAAATAACACTTAAAATAATAAATCCAATTAAGATAAAATACATATCATAATAAATTCATAACAAAATATACAAAAACATTAATTATAAACTCCAAACATCCATAACTTCAAATTAGTATTTATATTTATATTATTATTTATATATATATTAAAAAATTTCGGTTAACCGTTCGGTTAATTCGGTTAACCGACCTTTCGAACCGAATTAACCGTTAACCAAAATTTTAAAATTTCTTTAACCATTAACCGAACCGAAAAAGTTCGGTTCGAAAATGGTTAACCGAACTTTGTCGGTTCGGTCGGTTAACCGAAAATTATCCGAAGTTTGCACACCCCTACATCCTTTACCAACCTTTTAATACGCTCAAGGGAGATATGACCTAATCTCCGATGCCACAACATTGAGGAATTGTCATTAATACTGCACCGTTTGGTGCCGTTTTGAACATGTAAAGAATTGTAAACTGAATCATTCTTTAATTTAAGACGGAAAAGACCATCAGACAATGTACCAGTACCAACACAAGTAGAATAACGAAATAACTTGATATTATTGGTATTAAATTCAAAAGAATATCCGAAGGGTACAAGTCTAGATACTGAAACTAAGTTCCTAGAAAAACTAAGAACATAAACTGTCTTTTCTAACGCCATTACAAAATCATTGTCCAAAACTAAATTGCAAACTTCGACAGCTTCGACTGGTGACGCAATCTTGTTTCCAGAGAAGATGCTACACTCAGTTCCCGTTGGATGTCTCAATTTTGTCAAATCCTGCAAAGAGTTTGCAATGTGAATTGTTGAACCAGAGTCAACCCACCAAGAATTAGTATTAACTTCTGACATATTAAATTCGAAACAAACAAAAGAAGATGGAACATACCCAAACTTAGCCACAAGCCTTTGTTCCTCCATATAATATCACATGAAACAAATGCAAACAGCTGATTAATAGAAACTGAAAGGTGACGTTTCTAAGTATCCTTCGCAAATAAAATATGGTGGCGGATGTTCTACGTAAACACGCTACTATGCAAAATGTTGCTTGGTCGGAGATAGGCTCACCATTGCCCGAGGTTGCAGACGCAATTGAGGAAGATAGAGCAAGTGTTCCTCAGCTGAGGCACGCTATATGATCTAAAAAAAGAAGCATAGACTCATGCAAGAGAGAATTCCCTAATCTAAACGACGTATACATTATGTATTTTTAGTATTGAAATTGTGAATTTTTAAAATATAAGTTGTGTACATAATAATTGTAGAAGAGAATTTGTGAATACAAATCTTAATATGTTAATATTGTGTGTCTGCAGTATTTGAAAGGAACTTGTGAATACAAAATAAGGTAATCAATTACATATATATTAACATTATATGTTCATATAACACAAATTGTGAATTTTTAAAAGGTAAATTGTGAACATTTGGACCCGAGTCCACGGAATAATATGCGATGAAAGCTGGCGTTCTGGCCTAGAACAATCAGAACCCGATTATAGTTTGGGCTGTAGCCCAATATATTGTATGGCCCAATAGGGTTTGGACGAACAGGCGGGAGCTGGGTAGAAGTAAATCCAGAAAATTCTCTTCTCTCCCCATCCCCACGTCCTTTACTATATTGTTGTTGTTGTGCATATAAATCACATAAACTCGACTCAAATCAACAACAAATTCCAATCGCCTCTGTTCTCTTCTGCGTTGCGGCTCGTAGCAAATTTCCCAAAAACAAGACGACGGCAACGGGAGGCATCGTCCCATTCTTCTGCGTCGTCGACAACAAGGAGGTTTCCTCATCTTGCGGATTTGATTGATGGGAACCGAGAGGAAGAGAAAGGTGAGTTTGTTCGACGTTGTGGACGACGCCGCCGTCTCCACCAAGATCTCCAAGCTCAACGGTGTTGGTGCCGCGCTTCAGCCCAACAACGCCGCCATGTCCTCTTCCGTCAATAGCTGGACCGGCAGGCCCTACTCCCAGAGGTACTATGAGATCTTGGAGAAGAGGAAGACTCTTCCTGTTTGGCACCAGAAAGAGGAGTTCCTGCAGGTCTTGAAAGCCAATCAAACCCTCATCTTGGTCGGAGAAACTGGTAGTGGTAAAACCACTCAGGTCAGTACGCCTCTCTTTATAACATATATATATATATATATATATATATATATATATATATATATATATATATATATATATATATATATATATATATATATATATATGTATGTATGTATTTTGATTGGTATATTAATTCACTGATTCCTAATCCCATCGCACTCTTGCCTATTTCTTAAGAATTGGAAATTAACAAGGGGAAGTGATATTTTTTATTAGCTTCTGCTCTATTAATTTTAGGGTATCTAAATATGTTCTTCTTCGCAATCCATTCACTATATTGTTACAGTTTCCGCTATGTTTTTTCATATTGGTTTCGGATAGTGGTATACTGGTATGGGAAAAAAGAAAAGGGGGCCGGGGGTGTTATATGTTGCTTTGAGGTTTGGTCTGCACTAGTTCATAGTATTTAGCTTGTAGACTTGAGTTAGTAGTAATTGTGTTGGAGATATCATTTTGCTTCAGTTTAAAAAAAAAAAAAAGAGAAGGATTTATTGATATTTCAAAGTTCAACTCTTATATCTTGCTCCTCTTTACAGATACCTCAGTTTGTTCTTGATGCTGTTGATGTTGAGACCCCTGATAAGCGAAGGAAGTATATGATTGGATGCACTCAACCTCGGAGGGTTGCTGCAATGTCTGTTTCTCGTCGAGTTGCTGAAGAGATGGATGTGACCATTGGAGAGGAAGTGGGTTATAGCATTCGTTTTGAAGACTGCAGTAGTGCTCGGACAGTTTTGAAGTAATTACACTTGTTTACAACAAATAATTATGTGCAATTCTTTTACACGTAGAATGAAATTTACTGCCTTCTGCCTTTTTGTGGTTATTGATCCTTGTGCCTTTCATAACAGGTACTTGACTGATGGTATGCTTTTAAGAGAAGCCATGACAGATCCACTCCTAGAAAGATACAAGGTTATAATTCTTGATGAAGCTCATGAAAGGACACTGGCAACTGATGTTCTCTTTGGGCTTCTCAAGGAGGTGTTGAAAAATAGGTCAGATCTCAAGTTAGTTGTTATGAGTGCCACACTTGAGGCTGAGAAGTTTCAGGGTTATTTTTATGGTGCACCTCTCATGAAAGTTCCTGGTCGGCTTCATCCTGTGGAAATCTTTTACACTCAGGAGCCTGAGAGGGACTATCTTGAAGCAGCTATTCGAACTGTGGTGCAGATACATATGTGTGAGCCTCCTGGTGACATCCTTGTTTTTCTCACTGGAGAAGAGGAGATTGAGGATGCATGTCGGAAAATAACAAAAGAAATTAACAATTTGGGAGATCAAGTGGGCCCTGTGAAAGCAGTTCCTCTTTATTCTACGCTTCCACCTGCTATGCAACAGAAGATTTTTGAAGCTGCTCCTCCCCCACTAGTGGAAGGTGGTCCTCCTGGAAGGAAGATTGTTGTGTCCACAAATATTGCTGAGACGTCATTGACTATAGATGGTATTGTATATGTTATAGACCCAGGGTTTGCAAAGCAAAAAGTTTATAATCCTAGGGTACGTGTTGAATCGTTGTTGGTTTCTCCAATTTCAAAGGCAAGTGCTCACCAAAGATCTGGGCGTGCTGGAAGAACGCAACCTGGAAAATGTTATAGACTTTATACAGAGAAGAGTTTTCATAATGATCTTCAACCACAGACCTATCCAGAAATACTTCGGTCCAACCTTGCCAATACAGTTCTAACTTTGAAGAAGCTAGGGATAGATGACCTGGTCCATTTTGATTTCATGGATCCCCCGGCACCTGAAACATTAATGAGAGCCTTGGAGGTTTTGAATTACCTTGGTGCCTTGGATGATGATGGAAACTTGACCAAGCTGGGTGAGATCATGAGTGAGTTCCCACTAGATCCTCAAATGGCAAAAATGCTTGTTGTCAGCCCAGAATTCAACTGCTCCAATGAGATTCTTTCTGTTTCTGCCATGCTATCAGGTAATCTTGTCTTTAATCATACTTTTTTACCATTGGTCGAGTCTGTGAGTGTGGTCTTTGTCCACATCAGTGTTAGGTCTTGTCAGGCTGGGAACTCTGCTTCCACAGGCCTTTATCATCTTGTGCATAGATATGTTTCTATGCACATATGATGTGGTTAACTTCACACATGAGTACAGAAGTGCACATGTATGTGGTTTTGTGTCTTCTTAGGTTGTCATCAGCAACTGTCTTGTCTGGGTTCCATGCCCCCTGCTGGCATGCACCATAGAGGTTCTAAGCTAGTGCTGATGCAGATAGTTGCAGTTTCTCAGTATTCTCTCATGAAGCAAATGGTGTCGTCTCGCCTCTATGCATCTGCTGACCACAGTGGGCCTCCTCTGTGATAACCAATTTTTTCTTTAGTACCCAATTGCTTTGTCCGGCCTAGGGAGGCTCAAAAAGCTGCAGATGAAGCGAAAGGTCGTTTTAGTCACATTGATGGAGATCACCTCACGCTGCTGAATGTGTACCATGCTTACAAGCAAAACAGTGAGTTTCATGTTCTCTATTTCTCTCATCTTCTCAATCTAAGAATTCAACAACTAGATTCTAAGCAATTTTCTTGCTGGGTTTGATGCTTTTCAGAGGAGGATCCACAATGGTGCTATGAGAATTTCGTTAATCATAGGGCTCTCAAGTCTGCAGATAATGTAAGGCAGCAACTCTCACGCATTATGACAAGATTCAACCTCAAGCTGTGTAGCACAGACTTCAACAGCCGTGACTACTATGTCAACATAAGAAAGGCCATGTTAGCTGGATATTTCATGCAGGTGGCTCATTTGGAACGTACTGGTCACTATCTGACAGTGAAGGACAATCAAGTATGTGCCCTTTGTGGATACAACCATAGTTTTTGGATTATTTCTTAAATGTCTAGTAATTACTTTTCAATGGTATCTGCTTATTTTGATTGCAGGTGGTTCACTTGCATCCTTCAAATTGCCTGGATCATAAGCCAGAATGGGTTATATACAATGAATATGTGTTAACAAGCAGGAATTTCATCCGGACTGTTACTGATATTCGTGGTGAATGGTAAGTTTTTAGGTGCTAATTTAAAATTAAGAACCATCATTTTTATGTACCTACTTTATTGTTATCTTTCCCTGCTATTTGAGTGTGCATACTGTTGTTTTTGTGTTGTGCAACCCTCTTTTCTCTTAGAGGTGGGCAAGAATTGGGAGCACAGACAGAACTTCCCCCTAGCTTATAGGCAATTTCTAGTTCTTGCTTTAAAAATAAAGCTTTTGAGTTAAGAAGTATATATGCTTACTCCTCTCTCTCTCTCTCTTAGTTGGGAATATAAATCTATTGGAGGACTTGAGAGATTTGGGTGAATTTTTTCTTTGTTCTTGTACAGTGAAACAATTAAAAATAATTGTGATTGTGTTGGTGATTGAAACTTTGTTTGAGCCGGTCTTGGTTATTTGTGTTGCTTGCTAACTGTGTTTCTTCTATGTACTTCTTATTATTATTCAGGTTGGTTGATATAGCACCACACTATTATGATCTCTCAAATTTCCCCCAGTGTGAAGCAAAGCATGTACTTGATAGACTATACAAGAAGAGGGAGAGAGATAGAGAGCAAAACAAGAAAAAGAAGTAAAGGGTGTTATGCTTGCAGTGAAGTTCAAAAATTTTTAGTTACTCATGTTGCTCTCATTATTATTCAGGTTTTTGCATAAGATAAGATGGGACAGATGGTGTACCATTGTGGAAATGTAGTTTTCTAAATAGTTTGGTTATCTCACTTATCTGTATGAATTGACATTCATGTGTTTGAAGGATACATTTTGTTCCAAGTGTTATAAATTTTATTATTACTGAAATAGTAATGTTGTACGTAAATCTTCTTCACTGTTTTTGTATGGTTTCATTATTTCGTTGGGGGTTTATTTTACTCAAGATTAAAAATTTGGATTAAGCTTGTGAGCTGAAGTGGTTGGTGGTTGCAGACTTGCCCAGCCTTTCATATGTTGTTTGGTTGGATGGCGTTGCAATTCAATTGCAGCTGGCCACCTGAATTATAGTGTTTGGTTTTGTTGTATTGCAATTTATATCCTTCCCCATTCTTGGTATGAATTACAATTTAATGTGGAAAGGAAAGGAAAAATGGAAGAATTTTTTTTTACCCTTGATTATTATTAGTATTATTATGATTATTACACAAGGATATTTTAATCTTTATATCACAACTTCTTCTTTTCTCGTTCTAATAATTCTATTCTTTCTTACCAAATAATGTAATTTGAATTCCTACATTATTCTCACCATATTTTTTTTTCCATCGAAATTCTTTCCTTCCCTTGTCATGTGTTGTAAAACAAACCATCTTAAGTAGATTGTGGGCAGAATTAGAAATTGGAACACTAGATTTCTCTCTAGGGTTGGGAGAGAGGTCCTTCTCAAGAAGGTCATCCAAGCTATACCTACTTATGCCATGAGTGTTTTCTTATTACCTATTGAAACCAGCAAGGAAATTAAAAGGGTTATGAATGAGTATTGGTGGGGCTGTGAAGGGGAAGGAAACAAAGGGATCAGATGGAAATGCTGGGAAGCTTTGTGTGTTCCTAAGAAACGGGGAGGTATAGATTTAGAAAGATCAGGAACTCTTTGGTGGCAAGAATTTACAAAGCCAAGTACTACCCAAGGGGCTCCTTTCTTACTGCTGCCTTGGGGAGTAATCCTTCATTTATTTGGCATAGTATTTATGAAACCCAAAACTTCATTAAAAGGGGCTCTAGATGGAGGGTGGGTGATGGGTCCTCTATTAGTGTGTGGAATGATCCATGGATTCCTAATATTGTTTCCCCTTTTATTCAATCTCCAGTGGTTGAACAGCTCTTTGACATCAAGAATGGATGGGACACTGACATTCTCAAGGACTTATTTACTGAGGATGATGTGCTCCAGATTCTGAAAATTCCCATTGCTGAAAGGAAAGTGGCAGATAGAGTCATATGGATGGAAAGAAAGGAAACTTCTCTATAAGAAGCTGCTACAAAATGAGAAATGGTTACCTCCAAGATGCATGTTTTCCTTCATGGTCCAGAATACCCCCTAAGGTGAAAACCTTCTGTTGGCAACTGAACACAAACTCCCTACCTATCCTGAGAACAAAACAGGTCCAAACACCAAGTCTTTGTCAACTTTGCAGTAGTGATGATGAAAGTAGCTTTCATTTGTTTGTGTGCTGTGGTTTTGCTAGAGCCTGCTGGAGTTTATGCGGTGACATCTCTTATAATAATTTCAGCTCCCTTCATGATTGGATGGATCACAATTTCAACACTCTGGATGATAATGTCTTAGCTAAACTCATTATCATATGTTGGCGTATCTGGGGTGCTCGCAACGGTAAAGTATGGAACCAAACAGTCACTTCTGCTGCCATGGTTGTTGATCAAGCTCTTGCTTTCCTTCATGAATGGTCCTCTCTGAATTCTGGTATTCCAGTTGCAATTGCTACAGAAGCACAACATCCTCACTGGCCCTTAGACACTATTAACAGGAGAATGGGATTTGGAATGGTCATAAGAGATTCTGTGGGGGAGTTTGTTGCTGCAAAAATGATTCCTTGGCCAGCCCTCTTTGAACCTCAGGAAGCTGAAGCACTTACCATCCGGGAAGCTCTCAAATGGATCAAGGCTCTAAATTTTGACAGAATTCAAGTGGAATCTGATTGTCTGGAGGTGATCAAGGCTATTCATAACAGCTCTCTTGATCTCCTAGTTAATGATATTAAGGATATAGCTTGAGAATTCTCTAATCTCGGCTGCGAATAGGGTAGCTCATACTTTAGCTAGAAATGCCCTTTCTATGACAGATTGCATGGATTGTTTTTCAGTCCCTTTCGATTTTATTTCTCATGTATTAGACTATGATTATATTTAATATATTCCGGCCTTTTTTGCTTCCAAAAAAAAAAAAAGTGTTTGGTTCGCAAGTGAAGTAATGACTTATATAAAATGAGATAAACTTTAAAAACTTTAAACAACATGATAGCCTCTTATTGAAAATTAAAAGTTCAAACTTGGAACACACAAAGGGGGAGATATAGTGGCAACACCTATAGATAATAGATATGCCTGTCAAATTATCATTCCCTCACTCCCCTACCTATGTAATATACAAGCACCACACACTGATGAGTGATGAGTGATGAGGCAACACACATTCTTGATTCATAATGAACGCCTGCTAGCTCCACAAAGATATCTTCTAATGCTTTGCTGCTGCTTCTCCATTCAGCTGTTCATAAAGGCTCTCAATTTCTGCCTGCAACCAAGTATTATTATTTATCAGACGTGTGTTTCTACTTTCTACGCAGTATATATATATATATATATATATATATATATATATATATATATATATATATATATATGTATGTTTACCTTGTAATGCTTGAACAATTTGTCTCTTCTTTTCTTCAAGGTTGCAGTGACCAAGTTGGTGTCGAGCTCCAAGAGTTGAGGCTCAAGAATCACTCCTTTTATGTACTCAAATCCCCTTAGCTGTGGGTTGAATGAATGCACACCCATGCATCATAACAATCATTTCATTTCATTTCAAATGGATTACAGTGTATATATAATATACATACCTTGTTTCTCTCTGCAGTAGCCTTCAACTCCAGGAGGACATAGGTTTTTAGTTTGTTGAGGGAACAAAGTTCTTGAAGAGAACCCAAATACCCATTTTGATGTGCCCATTTTCGGCTGTTTTCTTCATTGGGAACCACCACAGCAATCAGTGTAGACTTGAAGCTGTCTCCATACACCCATATCTGAAAGTGTACGTAATTGGCATTTGTTTATTATTACCGTACCAAATAAACTAATCAAATTGCATTGGTGCTTTTGCTTGCTTACATCTTCAACAATGGGTGCTATACCATAAACCTTTTCCAGATATTCAACTGCAACATACTCTCCTTGAGACAGCTTAACAAGGTTCTTCTTTCTATCAATGATTTTTATGACTCCATTAGGCAACATTTCTCCTATGTCACCTGTCAATTTAAGATTTTCTTTCTATCAATCATGTGAGTCTGCTTTGCTTTGCTATCATGCAGTGATGAATGAATGAAAGAAAGGCAGCTAACTAACCTGTATGAAACCACCCATCTTTATACACTTGTTTTGTCAACTCTGGGTTCTTGTAATACCCTGCAAAATTAGTCTTTCCTTTCACACATATCTCCCCGCGAGGGACATCTCCTAGCGGGTTGTAACCCATTTCTGGAACCTCCACTAGACGCAATTCTGAATATAGAAATGGTGATCCAACAGCTCCTATCATGCACATTTCATCTGGATACCCAATAGCACTCAACCCACAAGTCTCAGTTAACCCTGCATGCAATGCATCAATTTTTTTTAGTTGATCTGATGATAGGAATAACACATTTTAAGTCAGAGATGAAGAGAAGAGAAACATATTTCACCATAGCCTTGTACCACAAAAGCACAAGAGGTGACCCTCAAGAATTCTTCAATCTCACTCCCCAGCGCTGCACCACCAGAAACTATCAGTCGAAGTCGCCCACCTAGCCTAGCCTTAACCTAGCAGGACCAATATGAAAGATTAGTACAGTAAGTATTTCTTTACCAATATATAGGCATATATAGCAATCTGAAATATTAGAACTTAGATGCATTAAAAAAAAAAAAAAAAAAAAAAAACCTTTCTAAAAGCAAGCAGATCTGCCAGTGGTGACGCATCTCTGTGCTTGTATCCTAACTGCAACCATTTCAGTTTGCTGCATTATGTGTAAAAATGGTGAAATAATGTTAGTAAATACACATTATAGCTGACAAAGGAAAGTGGCAGAGAAATAGGCAGACTATTACTATTTGTAGAGAATGCTGAAAGCTGTTCTCCTAAATGGATTGAGTTCATCAAGTGCTTTTAGGACACCTAGAAGAGCATAATTTAGGAGATCAAGTTCATTAACCACATCAGTGGAATTTGCATCAAAAAAGTTCCATATATACATACATACCTTCATGGATTCTTTCAAAAACTCGAGGTACTCCAGCCAAGAAGGTTGGCTTCAACTCCTCCAGATCATCTCTTATCTCATTGATATTCTTCGATCACCAAATAAATGGGAAAAGCATCAGAAATCCAACATTAATTTCTTAAACATAAAAAAAGAAGGAAGTTCCAGCAGATTAATTACCCCATGGTAGTAGCCAACAGAAGCTCCCTTAAAGAAGAAGTACTCTTCGATCAAGCGGTCAAGGATATGAGCAAGTGGCAAGAAAGATATGTACACATCATCCACAGTCATCTACCCATTTATAGGTGAAGTTTGGAATCAGTTTGGAAACGATGCATAAATTGTTGAAGGGGTGTCAAAAGCAAAGCAACTAGTCTTACCTTGTCTTCAAACTGATCCATAAAAAGATCAACCCCTCTCGCGGCATATGCAATGTTTTCATGTGTCAATATAACACCTTTAGGCTCTCCGCTGGTTCCACTGGTGTACATGATTGTGCAGATATTGCATGGTTGTGGCGGCGAAACCTCTAATGGGTTCTCCTTTCCCTGAAAATTAAACCTTTTGATTGTCATGAACGAAGGTACAGATAACGCGAAATGCATGGATCATAAAGAAAAGTTAAAAAGTGTTGGGATTCTAATATCAGCTTAGGAAATTACCATTTGGAGAAATTCATTCCAAGAGTATGGCTTGATACCCTTGGAGACTGCCATATCCTTCTCTTCATTTGTTAGCGAGGAGAGACAAACAACAACTACAATACAAAGCAAGCTCGTTCAGTGAAAATGTACTTAATTAGCCTGGGCAACTGCAACTCAATGAAAAATCATGTATGTATACTCACGTTTTAGCCTTTTCACGTGAGGACATTCATCACTAAAAAGCTGCAAGCAAAATCAATAGTTTTTAAACAATCAGATTCACATTGCTAGAAATCGAAATAAAATGAAATTGTGGTAGGTTTTCCCCAGATCAGATCAGATCCTCACTTCTTTCACTTTCTTATCTTGAACAAAGACTACATCAATCTCAGAATGGTCTATTATAAAATTAACAGCTCCAGATCCTGCAATGCTTAAAAGAAGTTAAAAGTCTTCTCAACTTGAAAGTAAAAGAATGCATGCCAAACTGGAATTCATCCACATCCCAATCCAGAAATGTAAAACATAAAATGGAATCTAGCATTTTTCAATTATCTGATGAAATATCTATTACCAAGGGTGTCATAGAGTGGCACACAAATTAAACTGTGGGCATTGCAGGCCTGCATAAACATTGCAATGAATCTCAGATAGATAGTTGTGTGTTGCGAAAAAGACAGAAGAATCATTTGACCACCAACACGAATACAAACAAAGGGAATTTTGTCAAACCTCCATTGCTACAATCCACTGAGGGCAATTGGATCCATAAATTCCAATACGAGCTCCCTATCATCGAACATTAACACTTTTTTTTCAGTTTGAATTGTGAGTACACATTCATATATACTTTATGCATGCAAGAAATCATTTCCTTACAGGCTCAACACCATGCGCTCGTAATGCAGAACCAGCCTGCAGAATTTCTTCGAAAACTTCACTGTATGTTTTCCAAGCATAAGGTCCCCACTGAAACAAGAGTACGCGTGAAGAAACATTATATTCAACAAAGAAAGAAACATACAGAAGGATAAAAGAAGCTCTTATGTATGTATGTATGTACCTTGCCATTCAGCAGTTCTCTCCATCCCAACATCCTATTTCTTGGATGCTTCTCAACAGATGCCCTGTTAGTTCATCAAATTAAAGATTTCATGTACTAATAATATAAAGCTAGAGAGTAAAATTAAAGTCCAATATAATGTGTTAGGCTAGCAGTAGCAGTGAGCACCTTAAGAGTTCCCAAACTGTAGACAAGTTTGGATTAATAGGTGGAAATTCATCCTTAGCCAGCGGATTCCGATATATGGGACCAACAGATGGCTGCCCATCTCGGCCTTCCCTTCCCTCCTCCACCTTTACCGAAAACATCATATCGTCTATGGTAACGTATGTAGGTAAGTAGTTCTTCCTATCCCCACCAGTCTGCAACACAACAGAACATTTACTCCATTTATGGGCACTGGAAATGCTTGCTAGCTAGCAGTAGCAGTTATATGATGGTGAGTTGAGTATGTAAAACATACACCAATTAATTAATTTCCTAACAAAAATTCTTGAAAATAAGAAGATGAAGAAGTGAAGAAACCCATCTCATGAATAGTCATCAACAAATTAAATATTAAAAGGCCGGGTTACTGATGAAAACATTCTGTACAACCTTGTCTGCTATATATATATATGGTGGTGAATGGGCAGTAGCAGAGACAGAAGGGCAAGAAGCTAGCTGCTGCTGCTGATGGAGAAGATGGAGAATGATGCAATGCAAATTAAAGGTTTGATCTTTAAGAGTACGTAGCTAGGTAATAAGGTAAGCAAGAAGCAGAAGAAACGCAATAAACATTATTGCAACACAGAAAGCATGGAATCCGTAATAACAGCACCAAAAAGGTTTAACAAAATCACCAAAATCTCGTGAAGCTCAGCTCACCTCAGCTCCATGAATTATATTATTCACTCACTCCAAACTCCAAACATAGCCGCATATATATGATAATAATGTATGTGTCGAAAATATAATATTAAATAAATAATGAACTAAGACAGAGAGACAAACCCAGGCCAAGAATTGAAGGAGCAAGTTGAGGCCGGCCGGGTGAGTAATGAATAATGATATATATGAATATGATGAGAAAAAGTCTCAACTCCGATCCATTCCGCAGAAATGTACTAAGCTAGCTGCATCTGCTATACATACAAGAGTATAGTAGAAGCAAGCTAAGTGGCTGAGTGAGATAATATAATACGATCCGATGATGGCTTAAGTAGTAGTAGACTAGTAGTAGTAGCTGATTGCAATAACTTTTGCCGGGTCGCCTTTCCTTAACTCACTTTTTTGTCAGCACTTTACAAAGCTGTCCAACTTTTTTCTTTAAAACTTCATATAATTTTATGGTAAATACTTGGTGTACTTTCATTTTAAACTCCAAACTTGTACTCTCTCAGATGCTCTTGATGTAGAATAACCAATCCTATTTGCCACTTCAGGGAGTATAAATGAGGGAGTAGAATTTTGGGAATCTATGTAGCATAACTCTAATTTTATTTTTTTACTGACTAAAATATATAAACCCCATCTCTGATATGATCGATCTGCACGTGTCACCATCTCCGATGGACGGCCTCACTGCGGCCATACAGGTTAGTTGACATATATAATCAATGGAAATTAAGACCCTAATATAAAACCGGTAGGTGACATTATTAAAAGTTAAGTGGGATCATATCATATCGGGCGGAGAATATGAATATATGTACGGAATTGAAGATATTCATAGTGAAGGCTGTTGAGGAACCAACCGCAACATAATGCTATATATACTAGCTAGCTTGCTTACTGTACATTATTATTAACAGCAAGCTGGGCTACAGCCTACAGTGTATATTATTAGTCCACTAATCAGCTCTTAACACTGAGATCTATAGTGATGAAATATTTAATGCATGAAGGGTAGGTACGTAGTTCACGGTTAGTTGACGCTACTATACTATTACTGGTACGTGGAGCTGGATGGAGACTACTGAAACTCTTCAATACAAATTTACTTACTATATATACTCCAGCATTAAATATATATTTCCATTCCAATAATTAATTAACAAAACCAATAACTGCTAACAAGTAACCTTCTGCCAGTGGTCCTTTAAATTATAATTAATATCATTGAATGAATAGAGACGGAATTGAGACGCCGAAAGAGACTCAACTTAAATAATTTTCCATTCTCAATAACCTTAGCTAGGATAGCTTTCCTTGTATGGTATTACAGGGTGGATGAGGGCAGTTTATATCGTGCACCAAGGCGCACATTGTCTATGTGCGCTTTAGGCACAAAACAAGCGCGTTTCATGATGAAGTCATGAAGAGCAGTTGATGAGAATGTAGCTGTTGAAGAAGTGAAGAAGTTGATAGACTGCCCCTTTACTAAAAGGGTTTTTTTTTTTTTTTTTTTTTTTTTTTTTTTTTGTCTTTTTACCTTCAGTTAGTTATAACCGTTTTTTCCCTTTTGTTATAAGAGCTTGCCTCAGCTCTTCTTTCTGTTTTCGATGTATGTTTTCATTCCGTTTCAATCCAAACATGAGAACTCTCTTTTTCCGTCCATCTTCTTCTAGCTTAACTTCTCCATGATCACTGCCAATCCATCATGGTATCAGAGCGGCAACGAAGCTACGCTGCGGCAGTGACGACGAACACCACCGGCAACAACAATCCTATGGAGAATGTGGCAGGCTCTTCAAGCCAGACAGCGATGAACCCTAATCAGAGGAGTGAAGAGTTCGATGATCCTCTGTACCTTCATGTAACGGAGAATCCTAACTTGAGTCTAGTTTCGCCACAGTTGACAGAGCTTAATTATGCTTCCTGGAGCAGATCAATGAGGATCGCTCTTGAAGTAAAGAACAAGTTTGGATTCGTTATCGACGCCGTCCCGGTTCCAGACAGAGCTGATCCTAGACTAGCTTCCTGGGGGAGATGCAACCGAATCGTTTGCTCCTGGATCTTAAAGTCAATCAGTCCGAGCATTGCGGAGAGTGTCATGTACTTTGACAAGGCTTCGGATATCTGGAAAGCTCTTGAGAAGAGATATTCGCAATCCGATCCACATAGAATCTCTGAGATCCAGAATGAAATCTTCAAAAATGTTCAAGGGAATATGACTATGAATGAGTACTTTACCAAGAGCAATGCTCTTTGGCAACAAATGAATTCTCTGAGACCTTTGCTTCTATGCGAGTGTGTTCCGAGGTGCTCATGCACTTTGGTAAGCAGAATGCAGAAGCAGAGAGAGGAGGATCAGATAATCCGCTTCCTAGAAGGACTAAACGAAGAGTATGAAGCCATTAAGTCGGGAGTGCTAGTCATGGATCCAATTCCAGAAATGGAAAAGGTTCTAAACATGACTTTAAAAGTTGAAAGGAAGATTAGAGGATCTCTTAGTCAGAAAAGTGGTGCTTTGGCTCAATCTAATGCCATTCAGAACCAAGTGGAGGAGGAACCATCAGTTGTGGCAGCCTCTACCCTTAACAATAAGAAGAAGTTCACCAACAACATGGGGAGGAGTGTACCTAAGTGCACCTTTTGTGATAAAACTGGACATACTGTTGAAAAATGCTATAAAAAGCATGGATTCCCTCCTGGATGGGTGGCAGGTTATAAATCAAAGAACAGACACACTCAGGGAGCACAACAGGCTTCTAATGCTGCTATGAGCCAAGTAGCTGATATAGGTATATCCACTGATCAATTGCAAAAACTGTTGTCTCTTTTGCAGAACCAAAATCAAACTACAAACACTGCTGCTGTGACTGTCACCACACCCAGGATCAGGTCGGATTTTGGGGAGTCTCATGATGAAGGTAAACTTGTTTATCCTCAGATCAATACTGTCTTAAATTCACAAAGCATTTGGATTTTAGACTCAGGAGCAACAGACCATATTAGTTGCTCCCTAGATTACTTTGAAATGCATCACAAAATCTGTGGAGTTTCTGTTAAGCTCCCTAATGGAGAAACTGTAAAGGTAACTCATGTAGGACAAATCAGACTTGATGAGAATGTTTTACTTCAGAATGTGTTGTTCATTCCATCTTTTGCTTTCAACATTGTTTCTGCTAGTAAGTTGACTAAGCAGTCAGATTGCAAACTTGTCATGGAGGCTGATTTTTGTGCTATTCAAGGCCCTCATGGAATGGTGGATGGTTTTGCTAAGCAAAAGGATGGATTGTACTTGATTAGTGCTCTCCCTGTGAGGAAAGGGACTCAGCATGTTGATAAGAATGTTGAAAAATTATGCAGTAATGTGTCTGTTCAAATTTGGCATAATAGACTAGGACACTACCCTGTCAGCAAACTACCTTTGTTGAATGGAATAAAATCTGCTTTCATTAATAAAGAAGTCTGATTTTGTTTGTGATGCTTGTCACCTTGGTAAGCATAAGAGGTCTATTTTTCCAGTTAGTACCTCAAGAGCTGAAAAAAATTTTGATCTATTACACATGGATGTGTGGGGGCCTTTTTGTTGTGGCTTCATTGAAAGGGGAACACTATTTCCTTACTATTGTTGATGACTTCAGTAGGTTCACCTGGTTGCATATGTTAAGAAGCAAATCAGAAGTCAAGTCTAAGTTTCAAAGCTTCTACAATTATGTGTATACTCAATTCTCAGTGAAGATCAAAATAGTGAGAACAAACAATGGAACTGAGTTCTTGATGGGCAGCTTCTTTGATGAGAAAGGCATCATTCATCAGAAGTCCTGTGTATATACACCCCAACAAAATGGGGTGGCAGAAAGGAAGCATCAACATGTGTTAAATGTAGCCGGAACTCTGAGGTTTCATTCTGGACTGTCCACTGTTTTTTGGGGTCATTGTGTGCTTCATGCCTCTTATCTTATTAATAGACTGCCTAGTGAGGTGATTGGTGGAAAGACTCCTCTTGAGTTGTTGACTGGAAAGCAGGTTGATTATGGTCAATTAAAATCCTTTGGTTGTTTGTGTTTTGGTGCAACCATCTCTCAAGGGAGAACTAAGATGCAGCCCAGGCAAGAAAATGCATCTTTTTAGGCTTTCCTGCCAATGTCAAAGGGTATATATTAGATGACCTAGCTGACAAGGATATTTTTATATCAAGGGATGTTAGTTTTTATGAACACATATATCCCATGAGAACTCAGAACTTGGAGAATGTTCCTACACAAAATGCAGGAGAATCTCTTAATACATCATTGCCTTTAATTCCTACTTCTGTTCATGCAGATCTTCCTGATCTTCAACACACTCTGAGACCTGTTAATCTTGATGCTGGTCTCAGAAATTCAGAAGGTGGAAGTGAACATCACAATGGCAACAATGATGGACAACACAGTGAAATGGCTGGTGAGACACTTGAGCCCATAACTAATGGAACTACTGGAAGAGATGATGAGGTAGACAGTGAGGCAGTTGTTGACAGACTTTCTCCACACAGCCCTAACACTCATTCACATCCCAGAAGATCAGTCAGGCAAAGAAAAGTCCCTGCCAAGCTTCAAGACTACTTTTGTCACACTATGGAGACAAGTAAACCAGGTTTGAGAACATTTCCCCATCCTATAAGCAATTTTGTTTCCTATGATAATTTGCCTGCCAGTTATAGAAGCTACATTGCCTCAATCACTTCCACACATGAACCACAATCCTATAACGAGGATGTACAGTTTGAACCATGGAAAAAGGCCATGCAATCTGAGATTGAAGCTCTGGTTCACAATAATACATGGACTCTGGTAAATTTGCCCCAAGGAAAAGTGCCAATTGGCTATAGATGGATTTATAAAATAAAACACAGGGCTGATGGGTCCATAGAGAGATATAAAGCAAGACTTGTAGCAAGGGGCTACACTCAACAGTTAGGGGTAGACTACTTTGAAACTTTCTCCCCTGTGGCTAGAATGACCACCATTAAGACTTTTCTAGCAGTGGCCATCATCAGAGGTTGGGATGTTCAACAACTGGACATCAATAATGCATTATTGCATGGAGATTTAGATGAAGAAGTGTACATGACCTTGCCACCAAGATTTAAAGGTGAAAAGCCCAATCAAGTTTGCAAGTTGTTGAGATCCCTATATGGCTTAAAACAGGCAAGCAGACAGTGGAATTTTAAACTAACAAAGGCTTTATTGAGTGATGGTTTTCAACAATCCACTGCTGATCCTTCTCTATTCACTAAAACAGAAAATGGCTCATACCTTGCTTTACTTGTATATGTGGATGATATCCTTGTGGCAGGCACAAATCCCATTCAAATACAAGCATTAAAGCAGATGTTGGATGCAGTTTTCAGAATAAAAGACCTTGGCAAGTTGAGTTATTTTCTGGGACTTGAAGCTCTCAGGGTTCCCAGAGGCCTTTACCTATGCCAAAGAAAATACACTTTGGAGATCTTAGAAGAAAATGGTTTTTTGAATGCTAAACCAGCCAAGACACCATGTAATGCAGGGCAGAAGCTCACTAATGATGAAGGAAAGCTAATTGACAGGCCTGAAGTTTACAGAAAACTGGTTGGGAAGCTTTTGTATTTAACCAACACAAGGCCTGACATTTCCTATTCTGTCCAACCGCTGAGCCAATTTGTGGATGAACCCAAGAGCACACATTTGAATGCAGCACATAGGGTGCTCAGATACCTCAAGGGATCACCAGGCAAAGGGCTATTCTATTCATCACAATCTCAGGCCAGGCTACAAGCTTTTTCTGATTCAGATTGGTGCACTGAATCTAGAAAATCTGTCACAGGGTTTTGTGTTTATCTGGGAGACTCTTTCATCTCATGGAAATCTAAGAAGCAAGCTACGGTTTCAAGGTCTTCCTCTGAAGCTGAATACAGGGCTATGGCTTCCACAGTTTGTGAAATCCAATGGCTTAAGTATTTGTTGGCAGACTTAAGAATGGATACCAGCAGTCCCATTACTCTCTTCACTACAAGAAAAATGCACATAGACAACACTAGAAAGACAACAGTTTTTAAGAAAAGTGTTGTCTTTTGTATAAAAGACAACAGTTTAGTCCAAAACTGTTGTCTTTGATGCAACACTTTTGTCAAAGACAACGATTTTTACTTAACTGTTGTTGTAAGTGTGTTGTCTTTGTGCATTTTGTGAAAAGACAACACCACAACGACAACGGTTTTTTAAAATCGTTGTCTATGTGCGTTTTTTTTTTTTTAAAGACAATGGTTTTTTTAACCGTTGTCGTTGGTGTGTTGTCTTTAAGCGCACTGCAATACACAACACTAGAAAGACAGCGATTGTTTAAAACCGTTATCTTTGTGCGCTTTTTTTTTTTTTAAAAGACGACGTACGGTTTTATTTAACCGTTGTTGTTGGTGTGTTGTCTTTAAGCGCACTCGAATACACAACACTACAAAGACAATAATTTTTAAAAACCTTTGTCTTTGCACGCTCTTTTTTATTTAAAGGACAACGGTTTTTTTACAGTTGTCGTTGGTGTGTTGTCTTTAAGCATATTTAAATACACAACACTACAAAGACAACGGTTATAAAAAACCGTTGTCTTTGCGCATCATTATTTTATAAAAGACAACGGTTGTATAAAATATAAACAAAGATGTAAACAACAAGAGTCCAACATATGACCTCTAACATAACAAACTAAGCTAAATCCACCAAGCCACACCAACACTTATGTATTTAAGCGCAACATTTAGGATATAAGCAGTTTGCTTCCGTGTTGTCTCTGAGAACCAAGACAATGATTGTATAAAATATTTCAAGGATGCCACCAGGAAAAATAAAACCCGAGACCTCTAATATAACAAACAAAGCTAAACCCACCAAGCCACACCAACTCTTGTTTATTAAAGTGTTACACCCACCAAGCCATAACAAACTAAACTAAACGGTTGTTCAAAAGTTAATTTAATAGTTCTATTTTCGTTCATATTTAAATATAAAATTATTCACCAAAATTTCAATTTCAATTCATTAAAGTTTTATTTTCAATTACAATTAAGACCAATCTATGAATTCAAAATAATAATAATAATAATAATAATAATAATAATAATAATAATAATAATAATAATTAAGAATAAAAAATAATAGATTATATCTATAATATTTTTTTTAAAAAAATGGGCCCCCAAGGTTAGCGCCGGTTCGACATGGCTTAGAACGGCCCCGACGGTGCGGTGTGGTATGGTGTGGAGGGGTAAGGGTGGTATGCTAGGGGCCGGGGTTGGCAATCGATCCTTCCGGCTAGCGCATGACTAACAAGGTTAGCTATATGTTGGTAATCGACCCTTCCGGCATGCATGGGACACGTGGAGAATGGATATGAAAGAGTAGTTGATATCGTACAGTTAGCTATAGCCCATTTCTTTTGCCGCGATCTTTATAATAATTGGGCCACCAACTGTCTGGGTAATAAACCTCCGGGTAATAAGGGCAAATTATGTTGTGCAACCGTGTGCACCATGCATGGTGCACATTGTTCTATGTTCATAATTACCGAACTATATATTCATAATTTTTGAAATTCATATTCATAATGATTGAACTATATATATATATATATATATATATATATATATATATATATATATATATATATATATATATATTCACAATTACAGAACTCTATATTCATAATTTTTGATATGATGTTCATATTCCCAATTGTTGAACTCTGTATTCACAAATCATAAAAGTATATGTTCATATTTGATAACTATACAGTTTAGAAATTATGAATCAACAATACATAAATTAAGAATCTGCAGTATAGAATCAACAATACATAAATTTAAGAATCTGCGGTATACATAAATTTAAGAATCAACAATACATAAATTAAGAATTTTGCATCTGTTGGTTTTTCGATTTGCACTTATGCTGTGTTGGCAAGGTTGGACTAAGGGATATCTTGCCAAGATTGAACAATGTGGTTTTTTTTGTACTCACAGTGTGAGGTTGCCTTTGATGTTCTTTACTCCTAACTTATTTCACATTTCATTGCAAATTTATTATATCTATACTAATTTATTTACTCACTTTTTACATGTAGTTCCAACAAGTTTTATGACAAAGCGGTTATTGATCTGGTGCGTTTAGAATGGGCCGATATTCTATCAAGTTATATAGAGTAGGTATGATTTGACGTTGTAATCATTTAGACTTGGTTCGTAGAATTGTTTTTAGTAGTATTATGACTTGTATGATGCTTCGTTTAGAATTGGTAATGAAAATATTTTGACTTGTTATTTTGAACCTTGCTTAGCTTGTGCAAATTTATGTAACTACAATTGGCTATGGTGAATGGATAAATTGATTTTTTTTATATGGTTAAAATTTAAGCAGGTTAAAAATGGGTTGAGACAACGGTTTTTACAATAGATAACCGTTTGAAACTGTTGTCTTTTCTACAAAAGACAACAGTTTATGGGCGTGACTTTTAACAACAGCGATTTCAACAACACACAATAGACAACAGTTTATAACTGTTGTCTTTTAAAGAAAAGACAACAGTTAAAAACCGTTGTCTATGTGCATCACTTTTAACAACACCGGTTTCAACAACATTGAATAGACAACGGGTCAAAAACTGTTGTCTTTGAAAGAAACGACAACGGTTTAAAACCGTTGTCTATGTACGTGACTTTTAACAACACCGGTTTCAACAACACTCAATAGACAACAGTCCTTAAACCGTTGTCTTTTCTAGAAAAGACAACGGTTAAAAACCGTTGTCTATGTTCGTGACTTTTAACAACACTGGTTTCAACAACACTTAATAGACAACGGTTAAAAAACCGTTGTCGTTTATAGAAAAGACAACGGTTATTAACCGTTGTCTATGTGCGTGACTTTTAACAACACCGGTTTCAACAACACTTAATAGACAACAGTTAAAAAACCGTTGTCGTTTCTGGAAAAGACAACGGTTATTAACCGTTGTCTATGTGCGTGACTTTTAACAATACCGGTTTCAACAACACTTAATAGACAATAGTTAAAAAATCGTTGTCGTTTCTAGAAAAGACAACGGTTATTAACCGTTGTCTATGTACGTGACTTACAACAACACCAGCTTCAACAACACTTAATAGACAACGGTTAAAAAACCGTTGTTGTTTCAAGAAAAGACAACGGTTAAAAACCGTTGTCTATGCGCGGGACTTACAACAACACCGGCTTCAACAACAGAAATTATACCCCTACGACAACGGTTATTAACCGTTGTCTATGTGCATTTTTCTTGTAGTGCTTTTGTGACAATAAATCTGCCATTGCCATTGGAGAGAACCATGTTTTTCATGAACGCACTAAGCATATCGAAATTGATTGCCATGTGGTAAAACAAAAAGTCAGCGAAGGAGTGATTAAATTGATGAGTGTTCCTTCACATCAACATGTAGCAGATGGCTTTACCAAAGCTTTGCCTAAACCTTTGTTTGACATTTTCCATTCTAAGCTGGGCCTTCACGATGTTCACGCTCCAGCTTACGGGGGGGGGGGGGGGGGGTGATGAAGCCATGAAGAGCTGTTGATGAGAATGTAGCTGTTGAAGAAGTGAAGAAGCTGATAGACTGCTCCTTTACTACAAGGGCTTTTTTGTCTTTTTACCTTCGGTTAGTTATAACCGTTTTTTCTCTTTTGTTATAAGAGCTTGCCTCAGCTCTTCTTTCTATTTTCGATGTATGTTTTCATTCTGTTTCAATCCAAACATGAGAACTCTCTTTTTCCGTCCATCTTCTTCTAGCTTAACTTCTCCATGATCACTACCAATCCATCATTTCAATTGCTGACGTCACTCCGTCCGTCCAAAAGGCCCAAATCTCATTATATGTATTCTGTTAAAAGTTTTTGTGTATTGTGTTATGAATTTTTGTGTACTCAAGCCAGTTAAGAATTTCTGTGTATTATGTATCATGTTAGATTATGTGTAGGTATTCAGTTATGAGTTTCTGTGTATTCTGTTATGAGTTTATATGTATTTGAAATAAATAATTTTTTTTTTTTTGGAACAATGCACCAAAACGACGTTGTTTTGGATAGGGCTTAGACTAAATTAACCCATTAAATGTGATGGTGTAGTTTTGCCATCTATTCTTCTTGAATTGCACCGTACCACCAATCAAATAATCACCCACCAAGTATGACCAATCACATCCAATCCTGATAGGCCTTATATATTAGCCTAGATTTTCGGTAATTAGTAGTAACTGATGTAATATACACCATAACTAGTTGGTAGATCAGAAATACTTAATCTCGAGCAAGACTAGAGATTAGGACGAAAATAAATATACAAATGCTCATTATTCTTATCCCAAAGGCTGAATCCCCAACCCTAAGGTCCCCCACACTTCGACCCGAAAGAGCATGTGGGAGGATGTATACAAATGCTCATTATTCTAACATGATACCAAGACTATCTTCTGGCATATACTATAGAATACCAAGCAACCTACCACTGAGATGCCATTTTGATGTTGTGCAGTGGGTCCAGAACCCAGAACGGGTAACAAATTAAAGTTCTCCTTAAACAAAAAGTTCACCAATATAATATATATAATAATTCTGGCTGGCAACATATATGAAATTTGAGATGAATGTGCATGTAATAAATGAAAAATGAATGAATACAACAAACCCACATGCAGTGAAATCAGTTGATGGGGAGTTAGTTCAATCACAAGTTGACACATCAACACAATAGACAACCTACCCCTTTATAAGGTTTTAAAGACGGACAGCATAGTGCAGAACTATGTTTAATCAATAGAATTGAATGAACCTAACAATAAGAGAGAGTTCCAAAATTAAGAAAGTTCAACACACAATTGAAACTGATCAAGATCATGTCAATAAGTCATCAGTTCAATCACTCAAATTAAAGTTTAACCTAAACCACTAAACCAGCAATTTCCTACCTTAGCTAGCTTTAAAATTTATGTTTCCTTTGTTGAGCCAAACCAAGATAATATTGTGCGCTACCATATATGTTACACTACTTCATTACTAAATATTTTTTTTTGAAGGTAAACTGCTGCGTATATTAATTAATCAAAGCTGAAACAAACAAAGGAGGATCATCCTCCCATACCATAGCGTCTGCCTGTAAATAGGCGTTAAATGCTAACGAATGAGCTAAATTTTTTTTTTTTTTTTTTTTGTGATATGCCATTACTAAATATATATGCACATCATAATAATTGTTGCATAGCCAAGTTGTTATAAATCATTGCCAAAGCATGGAGCGTAGGTGCCCAGATAGATACTTTTCAGTTCTTCATAGTAGGGGTCCAATTATATATATATATATATATATATATATACACAACCAACACGTTAGATGAAAGACATTAGTGCACTGTAGAAAACAATTAAGTAGCTAGTTTTCCATACTTTGACAGCACAAATCTCATAAATGCAGTTAGATATGTGATGAATGTCCGGACATACACTACAGAACATAACAAAATTAAATTAGCTATGAATCTTACCCTGTCCTGGGCGCAGTGCATGTTGGATGGATGGAGGGCTTTGGTCCACTGCATTTTGCAAGTCTGTGGATAAACCCAAAGTGGGATACAGATTCTGACTGAACATATAGATACAAAGGAAAATACTACACCAACTCCCATTTCTTACTTTTATAATTTGTACCCCTGTCACAAAATCTTGATGTTGACACTTTTTCTGGGACTCGATGAAAATATTCAATCCTTGTTTGTCATGTTATAGAGTAAAAGTGAGGGAATAGAATTTCCTTGTTTACCATGTCATAGAGTAAAAGTGATGGAATAGAATTTGGGAGTATATATAATATATACTAGAACTCAGATACAAATTAAAATAGGTTCTTCATTCCAAGCCAGCAAAGCAAGCTAAGCCCAATAATACCAGCAGCATATATATAATAGAGTACATCTGTTGAAGGTACGTTAATTAAGAAAGACAACTAGAAACACTAACTCACTCACAGATCAGAGGTCCAAGTCTGAATGTTTAATTATCTGATTAAAAGTTGTAGTACAATCGATCCATTAAGCGCATTCATGTTCCATTTATAATCTAGACCAATAACAACTCACAACTAGTTCACAACAGATTAAATGAAAGAGGAGTCGGTCTTAGCTTGCAGGAATCCATCCGATCCAGACACCAGAAATACGCCTTCACTGCAGAATGATCAGGACTGGGAAGAAGGAGGAGGAGGAGGGTTGGGGAAGGAAGGGACCCACTGGGCGTGGAACCATTCGCGGTGCAAGCGGAGCTGGGACTGAGGGAACTGAATCTGCTCGCGTGAGGAGCGGAAGAAGACGGAGTAGGTAGAGTCATCAAGAACCTCGGTGACAACGCCCTCCCACCAGCCGTCGCTGTGGAAAGCGTCGACCTCCTCGCTGAGGTTGAAGGAGCGGGTGGACTCGCGGGGAGGAACTGGACGGGCGAGGATGAAGTTGACGAACTGGCGGAGGGGCTTGGTGTCATCCTCGTCAGACATCAGGGTGTGGAACTCCACAAACAACTTCTTGCTCTTCTTCGAAACGGTGCGGAGGACGGTGGCGGTGTACCACGACCCTCTGAAACCCTCATCTTCCAAGCTCACTTCAACTTCTGCTCCTTTCTTGCACCAATCTAACTCTTCCATCGCCTTCCTCTTCTCCATCTTCAAGGGACAGGCGGTAGTGACCTATAGTACCGTTGTTAATTTAATACTCATTTATATTTCGTTTTGCATTAAATTCGATACCTTTTTGACAAGATTGTGTGGATATATTAATATTCTTCCAAATTTTTATTCCTCTATTAATTAAAACATTTTGGAATGTTGTAAATAATTTCGCCAAACGTAACGTTGTACGCGGCTTATCGCCGGCCTGTCTGTATACACTATGGTCTCTATGGGGGACAGTTCATCAATCATCACATCACAATTCACAAAACAGGCACTACTACTAGTCTAAAACATCAAAAGTTGATAAAACTACACGCACTACTAGGAATAGCACCGCCTCCGCCCCCGCAATCCCACCCCACTCTCCATATCCGCACTCGCACTCACGCGGATAATAAAATTTCTTCTCATACCATACTGCAATTTATAATATTAGTGCATCAAAGTCTTCACCAAATAACTACCAACTTGAATATTACATTTGCTTTCAACTTCAACATTAGTGTATAAAATCTTAGCCACTAGCACCAAAAAATAATTAGAAATTGTAATATTAGTGAATTGGGACATTCCCTTACTACCCAAAAATCTATATAATACTTCAAGTTTAATGCTCCAAATCTTCATGAATTATATTAATGCTTCAAATCCTCGACTTAGTACAAAAAAAAGTAATTATAGACTTCAACACTAGTTTGATATTGATATTGACATAAATATAATAACACAATATATATATAAATATATATATAAATAAATAAATAAATATATATATATATATATATATATATATATATATATATATATGTGGGGGCGGGGAACCTCTCCCCGCACCCGCCCCCATACCCGCGTGGGTTTAAAACTTTCCTCCATACTCGCACCCATTACTCAAATTATGCGAGTATTTATTATCCATTAGAACGAGAATGCGGGTAACTCGTTGAGTGCGGGTAGTATTGCCATCCCTAAGCACTACTACTAGTCTACTACGCCAAAGGTTTAGAAGCTAAATCTTGATATCCACTGCGAGCACTTGTAATTTCTCCTCTAACGTCATCCATCTTAGATTGAAGGCAAGCAATTTCAACATCCTTAGCCTCTCTCTTTGTAACAGCCACTTTCAACTTCTCTTCCAACTCTGCCATTTGCTTCTTCATCGCCTCAATCTCTTCATCGACTCCTGTTTTCTCCCTCTCCTGCTTCACCATCTCAACCTCCATTTCTGCTGACTGCACCTCCAGATTTTTGTGTTTTTCTTTAAGCAACACCATCTCCTTTAGCCGCTCTTCTATCTGCTCAACGTCAAATCCGTGCTCTCCCAACTCCGCAAGCGTCTCCAACATTTCTTCTATCCTGCTTCTGGGATCATCAAACTGCAGCTTGCTACATCTATCTACCAAGCTACAGAATGTCACCATATACGCTATAGCTAGCCCTTCGCGATAACTCTCTTTAACGTCTTCCAAGGGCTGGAAATGTGGCTTCTGGGGAATTCGCTGGAAAACATCCATCGATTCAATTGTCGCCCAAAGAATTGTGCTTTTAACGAAAGGCATCTCACTTGACACTGCACCATTGTCAATAGGAGCTTCAATTGTGTCATCAAACATAGTTACTAGTTAGTCACGCCAAAAATAATACAAATAAATGAAGCGAAGCACAAGATACAGGGCATACTAGCTTGCTTATTTGATCCATCAACAGTATTGCTAGGTGCCTCTGCCTCAGTAATGGCTTCCTCTGCTTCAATGTGCTCATCATTTCTCCCTTCAGATTCAGAAGCACCTGCAAGAGGGCAAAAAAAATTATTCTTTCCAGACAATTCAAGTATGGAAATAGACAATAGAACCCCACAACTGCATCTCTTCTACTAGCTGAAATTGTCCCTCCAAAAGGAGCATTTGATGACAAAGTTGTGCCCCCATTAAAACATAAATAATGCAATAACTCAAAAGCATCACAACGAAATACGAAACCCACTTTGACCTTTGGTTTGAGATGATTCATTGGTAGTACAATCCTTATTGATTGTTTCATCCACAGCATCTACATTTTGCAGGTTATCTACAACAAAAAAAGAATAAAATCTTCGATTCAGCAACATATTAGATGTGATTTTCAGCTCAAAATATTCATAAAATACCTATGAGAGGAGCAGGGGATTTAACAGTATTGGCTGCTGACTTGCATGGCCTTCCTCTCTTTTTCTTTTGACCACTCTCTGAATTACGTAATTGTTCACTCTGCTGGCATAAGGGAGATAGTACGAGTTATGACCATCAAGTTTCTAACACATGAAGGTTCCAATCCATTAAAAAAATAATGAAACACATGAAGGTTCCAATCCATTAAAGTTATTAAACATGGGAAATTAAAGCACAAGAATTGGCTCCTTGTCAAGTAGTTGTTAAAAGCATATCAGACATTCTCATATGTAAATTTTTTTTTTTTTTTTAAATATAAATATGAAAGGAATAATGCTAACTCCCAAAAACAAAACATGCAAAGACTGTCATTCACTTGTTCACCTCTATAACATTTGTAGCTAGATCGTTAACATGTTGCTTCTGACCACTCAAGGGATCCGAACACTCCTTGCCATCCATGTGATGAGATGTCTTACTTCTTGTGTTCCTCGAGGGAGAAATACACTCCAACCCTATCACAATTGGATAGCCAGCTTCATTATTTTCAGCTACATTTCCCGCTGCTTCCTTACCTGTTACGAAGCTTTTGCTCTGCACTTAATTATCGGGGTAAAAAGAAAAGATGAGAGTGAAAAGTATGACATTACATACCTTGAATAGGAAGCTGTGCGCCATCAACCAGCAAATTTGTTTGTTTCCCTTGAACCATCTGGACATCTGCCACAGAGATATCCTGCTCACTGATTTTCTGGCGTTTTCTCCTCTGGAAGAAATGATCAATTGAGAGGGTAATGATTAATAAATTAGAGTGGAAAAATAAATCAGTCAATTAGAAACAAGTAAGATGAAAGAATTAAAAATGCTAAGAACCAATTGACACGCCTCCAGCTCTACAAGTAATCTAGAAGTTGAAAGGAGGATTTCACCATATCAAATCCAATACTAAAAGATGCAAAAGCACAGCCTTTATGTGCATTTTTTGATCATATATTTGCATGGTACTGCAATTGCTGTCATCCCAGTAAAAGAAAGAAGCAAGAAATACATTGAGATTAGGCAGTTGGATATGACTTACAGTGCTCTTCCCAGACAACTGATCTACATATTCAGACATTGAAAGAATTCTACTAGCAGCACCCTCAGAAGTCAAGTTGTCAAAACCACAGGGTGTTTCATCTTGTTCCTTCTGCATTACTTGAGACTGCAACACTGTACCAACATCATTTGCAGAAGCTAAACTGTGTGGTTTGTTGTTTGGTGAAACCATAGCATTCGAAGGCTTCTCATTGCAATCAGTTGATTGTGCGATTTGATCACCCTGAGAATTCAAGGAACATGATGTTTTCTCTTTGGAGACTTCATCCTTAGTGCCTGAGCTGTCCAGTTGGACAGTTCTTTGGTTCACTTTAGCATTGCAATTGTCATCTCCCTCAACTGAACAATCTGAAGGGATCAAAATACCCTGAAATGGAAGGCAAAAACTCTAACTTTGAAGTACATATATGGGGGTGGGGGGATTGAAACTACAAGAAACGAAGCAAATATTGAGGTAAGATAGTTATATTTATAAAATCCAAGATAACTCGGCCAAGCTTTAATACCAATCATTAGGTTGGCATTTTTCCATTACGTGCTCTTTAATGGATTTCCATTTAACAAAGTTAAAAACTTTGCACTATAAGTCAAACATAATTCATTGTTCAGTTCAGTTCACCCACCCATTACAAAGATTTTACAGCATTCCAAAGGGGAATGGTATTAGCAACACTCAACATAGAAATCAATTAATGCAGAATCAAGGAAGTGCATATACATCAATACTATAGGATGGAATCCCATTAACAGAAGTGTGCAAACACATTGAAAAACTCAATTAATTGCCCAATTTGGAGTAAAAAAGCAAATAATTTGATAAATTTCCAATCTTTCCAATGATGGGATGGGTGCACAAAGCTGAAAATAGCAAAATTAAAGAAAGTATACATATATACCTGAGAAGTATACCAACTGCCACTTTTCCAATCCATGTGACGCCTTAATTCCAAGCCGCTTACCTCCTTCTCTAAATTAAAGTGCTTAAAGAAAACAACATATCTACTATCAGCAAGCATCTTGGTTATCACCCCACTCCACCAGCCAAAATCATAAAATGCATCCACCCTTTCCAACAAACAAAAATTTCTATTTTTAAGGTGTGGAGGGCAGGGTCGGATCTGAAAAGAACCAACAGTCACTTTATCCTTAACATTTGACTTCTGATACTCCACAGAGAAAGAGCCATTTCCAAAAACTTCGAGAATAGTAGCAGGGAACCAAACATCCCGGGGATCATATCTTTCAAATGAGACTTCTACTGCTTTCCCGGCGGTAAACATATTCCAGCTGTTTTCTTTCGAATTTCAGAAAAATAAACATAAAAAATCCAAAGCCATAGAATAGTTTTATGAAATTAACAACAGATCACATTCACTTTCCAACTATCATTATAATGTAAAAGCATTCATTCATGTTTATTTTAATTTCATCTTTATTGCAGAATGCAGAATATAAACCATGCAATGCAAAAGGGAAACAAAAATGACGGATTCAATCCGGCCTCAAAAAGGGAAGGATGGAGTTTGAGGAAGCATAAACTCGGATAATAGAGAATTCCTCGTACCATACCTGTGTCCACGAATCAGATGCCCGCACTCTGTTCTAAAGGAATGGCGGCCGAACCTTAATCCGTATAGCCTGAATTAAGGTTCAGGGTGATATCGGCAACTCTAGTAAGCACGCGGTCTTACCACCCACCAGCAATCTCCATGATCAGCCTCAAGAACTCCGCACTACTCCTGCTCCTTGGCGTTCTACGACGGCGGAAAAGCTGTTAACATAGGACCTCTCTCTCTCTCTTCCGGGCTTAAATAATTTCTGGGTTTTACGCAGCACGGAGCACGCACGCAGCGTTCTCTCTCGACTTTGAACGTCTTATTCACTGTGAATTGTGATGGTGCGGTTCATACAAACTCCAAGTCGCCTCGCTCGCTAGTCCTACTGCAATACGTAATTAGCCTTCCAAATAAATTGCCCACAAATTTGAACAATTATAATTGTAAATATGTTTGTTAATAGATTGATAGTTAACACGATCACGATAAGGTTAAACACAAACGTGATTCTTTAATGTTAACGGATTAGAATTGATTGTCTTGTCAGAACCGGGTCCACCATAAATCATGTATGAAGATATAGAATCGTGATATTATTGCTCCGGGTCCACCATGGGCTGTCATGTATGGGTCCACCGTAAATCATGTATAAAGATATAGAATCGTGATATTATTGCTCCGGGTCCACCATGGGTTGTCATGTATGGGTCCATCGTGAATCATGTATAATAAAGATATAAAATCGTGATATTATTGCTCCGGGTCCACCATGGGTTGTCATGTATTAAGATATATACATCGTGATATTATTGCTCCGGGTCCACCATGGGTTGTCATGTATTAAGATATATACATCGTGATATTATTACTCCGGGTCCACCATGGGCTGTAACTAATTATACTACTAACGGGTCCATCATGGGCTGTAACTAATTATACTACTAACGGGTCCACCATGAGCTGTCATGTATGGGTCCACCGTAAATCATGTATAAAGATATAAAATCGTGATATTATTGCTCCGGGTCCACCATGGGTTGTCATGTATTAAGATATATACATCGTGATATTATTACTCCGGGTCCACCATGGGCTGTAACTAATTATACTACTAACGGGTCCACCATGGGCTGTAACTAATTATACTACTAACGGGTCTACCATGGGCTGTCATGTATGGGTCTATTGCTCCGGGTCCACCATGGGTTGTCATGTATAAAGATATACATCGTGATATTATTGCTCCGGGTCCACCATGGGCTGTCATGTATGGGTTCATTGCTCCGGGTCCACCATGGGTTGTCATGTATAAAGATATACATCGTGATATTATTGCTCCGGGTCCACCATGGGTGGTAACTAATTATGCTACTAATAAGAGTGGAACCCAGGTGGATGTATTAACTAAGTCAGGGTGCCTATAGTTCTCAGATAGTAATGTCCGAGTAAAAGGCAATTCATCCTATTTATAGCATAATCCCATGCCGGTGCACGCCCAGGTGTACGTCCCTTGATCCACTCCCCCTCCATCCTCCATGTCAAATCGTACCACACCCCGCCGCAACACACCACCCTACCGCCACACCACACCTGTGTCCACGAATCAGATGCCCGCACTCTGTTCTAAAGCATTTGGCGGCGGAACCTTAATCCGTATAGCCTGAATTAAGGTTCAGGATGATATCGGCAACTCTAGTAAGCACGCGGTCTTACCACCCACCAGCATTCTCCATGATCAGCCTCAACAACACCGCACTGCTCCTTGGCGTTCTACGACGGCGGAAGCTCTTAACACCGTTCAGGACTAGGATCTCTCTCTCTCTCTCTTCCGGGCTTAATAATTTCTGGGTTTTACGCAGCACGCACTCAGCACGCAGCACGCACGCAGCGTTCTCTCTCGATTTTGAACGTCTTATTCACTGTGAATTGTGATGGTGCGGTTCATACAAAGTCCAAGTCGCCTGGCCCTCGCTCGCTAGTCCTACTGCAATACGTAATTAGCCTTCCAAATAAATTGTCCACAAATTTTAACAATTATAATACAATTTATGTTCAAATCTTTTTTCTTTTTTTATCAAACTCTAGGAAATCTTAAAGTTTCTAGAATCAATATGTATATTAGTAATTAATTAATTAATATAAAATACATGATTAATTACTATTAGTATAGTAAGTTAATATATAGATATAGTAATTTTGTTATACATAATAATGTATATACCATGTAATAATGCATGAAAATATATACGGTAATAATGATTAATACATATTAATATAGTAATTTAATTGTACATAATAACTATACTTTGTAATTGATTGTCTTGTCGGAACCGGGTCCACCATAAATTATGTATGAAGATATAGAATCGTGATATTATTGCTCCGAGTCCACCATGGGATGTCATGTATAAAGATATAGAATCGTGATATTATTGCTCCGGGTCTACCATGGGCTGTCATGTATAAAGATATAGAATCATGATATTATTGTTCCGAGTCCACCACGGGTTGTAACTAATTATGCTACTAACAAGAGTCGGCTCCGGGTCCACCGCTACTAATGCTAGTAACAAGAGTTGGCTCCGGGTCCACCGTTACTAATGCTAGTAACAAGAGTCGGCTCCGGGTCCACCGTTACTAATGCTAGTAACAAGAGTCGGCTCCGGGTCCACCACTAGGGCTGTCATGTATAAAGATATAGAATCGTGATATTATTGCTCCAGGTCCACTGCGGGTTGTAACTAATTATGCCTAATTATGCTACTAACAAGAGTCGAACCCAAGTGGATGTATTAAGAGTATAGACTAGAGACCACTAAGTCAGGGTGCTTAGGGAAAAGTGTCAAATTGGCCCCCTAAGTCGACCGGATAGTGCAAAATTGCGTCTCCTAACTAAAAAAAAAAAAGCTTTATTCTGATCCTCTAAATCTGTAAAATTGTTCAATTAAGTCCAAAGTGACTTGTTTAACATGTTAAATCTTCACATTGTTGACACGTGTCATTTTAAAATATTTTTTTGTTTTTTTTTATAATTTTTATTTATTTATTAAAATATATATTATATATAAAAAATAAAAAAACACAGCCACCTAAACAGCTTTGTGCGTTTAAAAAAATAGCTTTGTTTTTTTTTTAATTTTATTTTTTATATATAATATAATTTTAATAAATAAATAAATAAAATTAAAAAAATATATTTTAAAATGACACGTGTCAACAATGTGAAGACTTAACCTGTTAAACAAGTCACTTTGGACTTAATTGAATAATTTTACAGGTTTAAGGGATCTAAATGAAACTTTTTTTAGTTAGGGGACCCAATTGCACTATCTGGTCGATTTAGGGGGTCAATTTGACACTTTTCCCGGGTGCTTATTGTTCTCGGATAGTAATGCCCGGGTAAAAAGCAAGTCATCCTATTTATAGCAGAACCCCATGCCGCTGCATGCCCACACGTATGTCCCTTAATCCGCTCCCCCTCCATCCTCCATGTCAAATCGTACCACATCCCGCCGCAACACACCACCCTACCGCCACACCACCTTCGGAAAGGGGGGGCGTGGAGCACGCTTCAACCGGCGAGGCCCAACGCCCCAGGCGGGTGACCCTGTACGGCCAGCCGCGACCGGCTGGCGGCACCCCCCTCCTTCCGCACTATTGCGCCACACCACCTCCCAAAACGGGGGCGCTCGGAGGCGTAAGGCTCGCCTGCGCCGACGGGGGCCAACGCCCCGGGCACCCGCCGAAGGCTGGGCGGTAACCACCCTTCTGGGCCAACCCATCCTCCATTCCTTGACTTTCCATCTTCTTTGACTTGCACTGCCAAATCCCAATCGTTATACCGTGCACCAGGGCGCACATAGCATGTGTGCCCCGTTTCTCCCAAAACGACGTCGTTTTGTTAAGTTAAACAAAATTCTCTTTTTTAAATGCACATAAACTCATAACAGAATACACATAATCTAACATAATACATAATACACAAACTCTTAACATAATACACATAAACTTTTAATTGAATACACATAATGGGTTTGGTTAACATAATACACATAAACTCTTAATTGAATACACATAAACTCATAACACAATACACATAAAATTTTAACTGAATACACAATGAGATTTGGTCGGTTTGGATGGACGGAGTGACGTCAGCATGAAACACGCGCGTTTTGTGCCCGAGAGCACAGTGCTATGTGCGCCGTGGTACACGATATAAATTGCCGCCAAATCCAACCCAATAGCAAGAGCCCAGTAAATCTTACCCCATAACTCATATCTCCATCAAGAATTCGAAACATGAATACAAACACCATTTTAAATGAGTTAAATGAATTGACACAATAGATACGTTGAATTAACATATTTTGGATAACACGATAGTCCTTTTAAAACTCATTAAACATGTTAATATTATTTTAAAGATCAAAATAAAAAATAAAACTTTAGAAAAAAACGCATGTATTAAATCTTTAATAAAATTAATAAAATAGTAAAGATATTTAATCCATAACATATCATAATATTCATAAAATGTTAAAATAATAGTTAAAATCATAACTAATGTTAATATTAACAGGTTAAAATAAGTTCTTCATGGATTAAGCAAGTTGACTTGTAAAGACATTAATTTTAGCAGGTTCTTAACAGGTCAATCCATTCATGGCTCATGACACATTAAAACTAAGCACTAATATGTTATTTTCGTGTGTGTTACTAAGTCATGTTGCAAATTTATAGGTCTACTAATAATCATATATACTATGTAATTAATACATTGGTGTGTGTATATACATAAGGAACATGTCAATAAGAGTAAAATATTGTATTGTTCCTCTTAACATCTTATTAAAAAGAAAGGTTATAAATCATCATAAACTAGAGTTGTCAAAATGGGCTTAGTCCGCTGGGCTAGTTTGTCTCGCTCTGTCAGGCTTCGAATTTTATAACCAGTATTTGGCAAACTTTTTACCCCGTCCCATCAAAATGTCGAGTTTTGGCGGGGCAGGTTTGGCAGGCCGGCGGGGCCCACCAAACCCACTTAGTATGTATACATTATTAATATTACTGTATATATATACATCATTTTATATAATTATGGCAACTCTATAATAAACAGTAAATGAGTAGGTAAAACATAATATTTATATCAAAATATTATGAATTTAATTTTTATCAACTTTTATGGGTTAAATCCGTTATAAATAAATGCGTTGTTGAACTTTTTTTGGTTGGATGAGAAATATTTGTTTAAGTCAATTTCTTAAAATTTGAAAAAAAAAATGTTATGGTTCATGAAATATATTTTTCAAATGAAGTACAGTTCTTTATTATTATTATTTTTTTAAATATTCGACAAAAATATGTATTTTGTTTTCAATAAAAAGTTTTTTTCGGCTTACTTGATAAAACAATTCTCTTATAAAGTTTTCTTACTTATTATTATTACTAGTATTCTATATGCGCGATGCGCAAAAAATATGTGCCTAATATTAAAATCTTAGTTATATTAATTTTTTTAAAAAAAAATAATGTGTGTGTGTATATATAAAATTCATATTAATATTATTGAGGTTAGAATTATAGAAATGATAAATTACTTAATATAACTATGGTAACATTTTAATTAAAACCTAAATGAATTCAAACTTATCATTGAAGGATGTAAGAAACAATATTGTGTATACATATACATGATAATAATAATGTAGAAAGATAACAGAAGTTATAACAGCAGGGATATTTTTGTCCAAAAAATTATGTAGTACAACTTTTATAGCATAAGGTACAAAAAAAAATTAACAGAAAAAACAGACATAAACTAGGGGTATAATCTGGATTGAAATTTATTATGTTTTTAGATGTAACGATATATTAATTTTTATACTCATTATTTATTGTCATTTCAAATCTAAAAAAGAAAATCAATTTTTTTAATAAGAAATTTCAATGTCATTGATTCTCAAATATTTTCCATGAACTAAACCAGAAAATTAAAGGGGGGCAGGCATCTTAGACGAACAGAATACGGGGGTGTTTAGAAAAGATAAAGGCAAAATAAAAATCATTTGGGGGCAAAAAAAAAAAGAAAAACTCATTTAGGGGATTTAGAGCACCCGACTTGCTCAGAGGCATGGCGATGTCGTTCTTAGTAGCAACAGGATCGACCAGAATCTCGTGGACGAAGTACTACTGCTCCAAATTACGAAGCGTATCTCACAGAGAGCCATCTTCTATCCTTTTGCCTAAAGCTGCACAATCTGTGCGCTGTCAGAAGTTGAAAGTTTGTTATAAAGTTAGAGCCACGGCTGCTGGATCCCCGGGTCTGTACTCATCTGAGCAATTTGACCTCACTCCCGAAAACGTCGATAAGGTTCTCGAGGACGTTCGCCCTTACCTCATCGCCGACGGCGGAAATGTTGATGTAGTGTCTGTCGACAACGGCGTCGTTTCTCTCCAGCTTCAAGGTCCTTTCATGCGTTATCTCTCCTCTTCATTCTTCAATTTTCTTTTTTGGTCTTCCAAACTATCAAATTGAATCATTTCTCACTTGCATGATCAATCATGAGCTATTACTTGCTGTATTTTAGGTCCATATTTTCCTTTTTCTGTATAACACTGTAGAAAGCAAGAGTTCAAGAATATTTGGTCACACTGTGAATGAGATGAAACCTTTGCTAAGTATACACCTCAAGTGTACATTACAACTTTTAGAGAGATGCAATACTGTAGATTGCCTGCTTTTAGATAGATACTATAGGTGTTACATTAGTCATATTCTTGTTTCTAGTCTTTTTCTTTAACTGCTACAAGTGTTATTAGTTTGGTTCATATGCACCCGACCCTTAACCAGGAGCATGCGGGAGTTGTCCTAGTTCAACTACGACGATGAAAATGGGAATCGAAAGAGTACTCAAAGAAAAATTTGGAGATGCTATAAAGGACATTCAACAAGTGAATTTCGAAAGCACATCTGAGACCACTGTTGAGGTGAGTATGCTTGCTTTATATTCTTTGAGTAGTTATTTGAGCAGGAGATGGCTTCATATGGAAACTTGCATATGATGCAGGCAGTGAATGCCCATCTTGACGTATTGAGGCCAGCCATTAAGAATTATGGTGGGACTGTAGATGTTCTTTCTATTGAGGCTGGGGATTGCCATGTAAAGTATACAGGGCCCGAGTCTATTGGATCTGGTATCAAAGCGGCAATCAAAGAAAGGTTCCCAGATATTGTCAATGTTGTGCTCACTGGATAGGAATAGGATGCTTACAAATATAGCATTTGATATTCTGAAAGTAGTTTGCACATAGTGAACGTTGAGAACCATTTTTCATTTCAGTGTATAAAGATTGTATCCATAACCTCCATTATTTATTATATTCACCTAAAAGGGTGAGTTGGATGCTTCTGAAACAAACTTAAAATTTAATTTTCTTATAAAGAACTCTTTCTCCTTTACATTTTCTTGTCACTTTCTATGAGCAGCATATTATGAAACGGAATGAGCCTTCCAATGCCTACATGCCACTTTTCTGGTTGGATTCTTGTTTCAGTTGTCCTTGTTAACATTTGAACTTCCTGTGTGGTTGACAACATAATCAGAGGAACATTGATTCAAGAAGATTTCTGGTCGACAATTTCAGCAGCAGCGATTGACCTGAGCCAACGTGACAGGTTGATCAAGAAAGGCGTGTATACGAAATAGCAAGTGATTGTCCAAGTGACTAGCCCCTGCAGATGATTGTCAACAGGCTAAGCTAGGTAATGCAGTAAGCTGGTTGTTATATTGGCAGATTGTAAGACATTTGAGTTATTTACCTGGCCAAAAATCTCCACATTTGCTTTGGGATAATACCATAGACCAAACCATCTGAAAACATGTAGTGTTACTAAGATCCACGAGTGTGTGAAAACTTTTAATGCATCAAGAAATAGCAAGATCTCTTACTCCATTACAGGAATCTCTGCAAGTGGACATCCAAGACCTACAAGGCACGCAAGTGCAAACCCCAACCTAGTTCTATCAAACAATAACCATACCACTTCTGCTGCAGCAAACAACACATAGGCTTCAACGTTGTCCGGTACTCCTGCTTTGTACATCTCAGCGCTCAGTTCAAGGAACAAGATCAGTGCCCTGGCTCCAAAGCAACATACACGTGTCAACTTTAAAAATAGTTTTTTTTTACCAATAGGAAACTAAATTCGTATAGTATAGATGCCTACACTAACGAAGCTGCTGTTTTCTGTAAATTACCCTCTGGTTGTGGTTGCTTGGAAGAGAAATTTGCGTCGTCTAGGAAAAGATTCAGCAGTCCTACAGTGCAGTAAAACAGGCCAAGCAAAGGTGGAACCTACACATATGAAGCGAGCATTATTGGTACTAGAACCAAACGCATCTTTGGGTGAAGAATTAAGGTAAAATTAGATGTGAAATTTACCCATATATTGGTGTGAAGAGGACCGACATCAATCGCCCCGTTTTGGTAGACGACGAGGTTAACTCTGGAATGTATACCATCAAGAAGAGGACCCAAGAAGAAGCCTGTGGTGAAGAGAGACAGTGAGAGTGATGGCCAGGTTTTTGGCACAACTGTTCTGCTTTGCTGCCTGCTTGCTCTGCACACTAATGGTGGCCTCCTTAATCTCAAAGCCGCAGGGGCAGGTCGAGGAGGATTGAAAGGGGATTTGTGAAAAGAGCAAGAAAAGCCATAGCTGACAAGAATCTGCATAGCTTTTTGGTCATTTTTATTGACTTGAGGTCACTCGTGTATTAATAACTACTACAGTATACTACACATCTTCGTGTGGCCAATATTTAGTCTGATATCAGAATTATGCAAGCCTTGTTATTCCAAATTTGGTAGATGCTAAACAAGGCCAACAACAGAAAATCAGCCCATACACCTCTAGCTTGGCCCAATTAAGTGAAGATTTGCCCAACCGTATGTATATGTAGAAATATAAGCTATGTATAGAAATGGAGTTCGAAATGGGTGATCAAGTGGATAAAATACTAAATATAATTCTTGTCACATATCTTTTTGGTCAAATTCAACGGGATTTAATTTGTGCACATTGTCATATGTATGGTTCCCTTCAACACTAATAATAATAATAATAATAATAATAATAATAATAATAATAATAATAATAATAATGGGACATGAGTGGGCCGGCCCCTAAACGCCATAACATAAGTTGTCCCCGTTATTGAATGAACGTGGAGGGACCTCCCTAGCTAGGAATGGAATATTAAAGTGGGGAATGGGGTGATTAATGTGAACATACATACATAATAGGTAGGCTGACTGACAACGTAAGTTAGTTAACGCATTTTAATATTCTTATAACGGCCATCAACCGTTGATTGATTAGCTAGGTTCATGCATGTGATGAGGAAACTGATATCCACGACACACTGACTTGAAAACCACTACGTAACACATGACATCGACCGACAATATTCTTTGTTAAATCTTTGCCTCCGGCAGCCCAATCCCCTTTATCCAACATTTTCCATCCCCTTAATTATTTCGTTATATAAATTAAATTCTGATTTATTTGCCATTTTCCAACCCACAAAAAAAAAAAAAAAAAAAAAAAAAAGTCAAAAGGTCGTTGGCCGTTACTCACTTGGTCTCGTGTAAGCCCACAACAAACTCAACCTCTCAACTACTCTCGCACTTTATTATTTTTCATCTTTTAGTTTACTCCTTCATCGTCTTCTAGCTTGCATAGTTGCATGTGCGCGCGGCTGGATGCATCAACCTCACTATTAATCTATTCTATAGATATATGGATGGAAACCAGGTGAGGTGCATATATATACTGCTTACTTCCATGCACTACTATTACCTTAAAACTACACTACAGTACTGCGGCCATATATATAGTCATATAGATATACACACAACACAAACTTATTAACAACATAACTTCCGGCCTTCATATACTCGATCTAAAAATGGTTGTGTCTTGTCCCACTCCTCCTACGACTGCTACGAGGAGAAGCTGCGGCGGCAGTATTATTAGTAGTAAGAAGACGAGAAGTCATGGAATTCCAACCATCGACTTATTATCCAGTGAGGACAGGGCAAGTCTTTCCGACCAAGTAGTGAAAGCATGCGAAGAGGTTGGGATTTTCAAGGTGGTAAACCATGGTGTCTCCGACAAGACAGTTGCAAGCATGGAAATGGAAGCTCTAAGCTTCTTCTCAAAGCCCGCTGCAGAGAAAAAGCGACGTGCGGGGCCAGCAAATCCGTTTGGGTACGGCTGCAACACCATCGGCTTCAACGGGGACAAGGGCCAACTGGAGTATATTCTTCTGGAAGCTAATCCGGATTCCAAAACCATCTCCGATCATTATTCACTCAACTTCAGCTGCGTCGTGAGGGATTACATAGATGCGGTTAGGAACGTGGCGTGCGAGGTTCTTGAGCTGGCGGCGGAAGGGCTAAGGGTGCAAGACAAATGGGTTTTTAGCAGGATGCTTAGAGACTCCCAGAGCGACTCGTGTTTCAGGGTCAATCACTATCCCCATGCATCCTCGTCTTCCTTCGGCGAGCACACTGATCCTCAGATCTTGACCGTCCTGCGATCAAACGACGTCGACGGCCTCCAGATTAGGACCCGTGACGGCTTGTGGGTCCCAGTTCCTGCTGACCCCAAACACATGTTTGTGATGGTCGGAGACGCTTTTCAGGCGCTGACCAATGGGAGGTTTAGGAGCGTTAGGCACAGGGTTGTGGGTAGTTGTTCATTATCGTTACAGCCGAGAACTTCAATGATGTATTTTGGAGCTCCGGCCCTAAACGAAGCGATATCTCCCCTACTACTGTCGCCGCCGCACACTCATCTACTCTATAAATCATTCACCTGGGGAGAGTACAAGCAGGCCGTTTACTCTTTGCGTCTCGCCAACAATCGTCTTTCCCTATTCAACAACCACTTGTGAACTTAGTTTATTTCTACTATACCTTTAAACTTCATCCGACATACCATACCATTTTTAGTTATTGGCCACATATTCTTTTTTTTTTTTTTTTTAACAATAAAATATGTTATTTGACAGAGTTCAAATTACAAAACCATACAAATATTTGCTTATTTAGGAACACACATGCAGTAGCAGTTGGGGAGATTAATGAATGTGTGAGCCAAGATTACGTGGTCCACTCATATCACTAAAATTATTGGGCCCTTTGTCGTTAAGCTGTAGGAAAGGGAGTGAGCCCACAAAGACTTGACTTTTGGACCATTACGCCTGTGTATTGTATTCTACTCTTCTTTTCCATCTGAGATGGGTGATGGGTCTCATTATATAGTGCACTAGTCTTCAGCCCAGTTTTTGTTGAATTTATTGGGTTTAACCCAATATTAATACACGATCTAATCAGAGGTGTCAAATAGGTGGATTTTGACCAATACAATCCAACTTGCTATTGTATTTTTTTTTTGGATTGGGTCGGTTCGATCTAAATTTTTTTAAAAGAATTAAAGTCCAACTCGATCCAAAGCCCGAAAAATATTTAATATTATATATCGACTCATTTTAAGTTATATTTCTTTCCAAATTAGCTTTAATTGACATGTTTGCATATTTATTGGTTCATAGGACAAAAATTAAAGTTTGGCGCTATTCATAGTATAAAATGGGCTAGTCTTAGTTCGCCTATTGTTGCAAATGGATTAGGCTGGGTTGGCCCAACGGGTCGGGCTTGGAATGGACTTCAAACTAGTCCGTCCATTAGACGCCTCTAGATGTAATAATGAGGAATAGATGAACATGGATCAACATTTTTAATGTGAAATAGAAACTGTATGTGCTTTTTAAATTGTTTTAGTAAATCTTATTGTGGAACATTTGATCTGAGAGATAACTAAGTGATTGTTGTTGATTCCGGAGAGTAATCCTTCGTCTTCATAGGTCCTTTTATGGTAGAAGAATAAGGAGTATATATATGATATATAGATGCCAGCCAACTTGGTAGAGTAATGAAGATTAGTGCATCCATTATATTAAATCTACCATGGCTAGTTTAGTAAATATTTAGTGATCAACTCCTTTTAATTTTATGGACACTAATAATGGTTGTTCAACATCTAGGGTAGCTTGATTGCTTAATTAGTTATCAACTATTTAATTATTTTGTTTGGTTACCATAGACTTAAAATTTATTATGGATGGATTAGCTTCTTGTTAATTTCTTTATGTTTGTGCCTAGTTGTTATATCAGTATTGAATGATAGGGTTCAGACATTGATTCAAATTCACTCATGACTACTGTAGTGCCCAGTGCACCCACCCACCTAAACCTATTGCTCTACTGATTTCTACAATAGCTTTTTCTCTCGGAGCAGGCCATGCGCGCCCTCAGCTCACTCCACATTCTCTGATCTGATCTATAAAGCTCTCAAATCATATTTGTCCCCTATCTATATATCTAAATGG